TTCAGGGAATGAAAAATATCATTCGAATACGACGGTAAATTTCACCAAAAAAATGTAAACAAACTACTAGCTGCCCATGACTAAGTCTGCGTAGAATAGGCTAAAAGCTTAACAATTAACATTCAGACAGAAAGTCAGATACAATAAAATCTGTATATATAAATTATATAACCTATGTCTTATTCTGATGTATTTATTATTGTAAAGTTTCATTAAAATCCATTCAGTAGTATTTGCGTGAAAGAGTAACAAACATCCATCCATACATACAACTTTCGCCTTTATAATATTAGTAAGAAGTTAAGGATAAAGGCCCATTTACACGGTGCCAGTTTCTTGCCTGTTGTATACAATTAAATTGAAGCAATAAATGAGTTGCATGGTCTAAACAACAAATGGTCTTAACAATTATTGCGCGCAATTTATTGCATTCAATTATTGCTCTTGTATGTACAAGAAAATGTCATCGTGTAAATGGGCCTTAAGTGTCGGAAATTTCATACTCCTCTGTCCGCCCGTAATTTTCGTAAAAAGGGATATAAAGTTTTTGCTTCATGTACTAATATATTTATGATAACGCTAACAGACGTCTTACACTAAACAAAAAGACTAATCAATTTAATGGCGTTTTATAATATTGTTAATATTGATTTTGTGACTTTCTTAAAACTGACACTTAAAAAGCATAATTCAAGATTGAACTCTTTTCGCAATATTAAATGTTGAAAGACTATACTTTAAAATGTATGTAATATAAATAATGGTGTTCCTCGCTCGTAAAGTTCCCATTAGAAAAATATATGTTGCTTACACACACAAACAGCTTAAGAACACTACAGTAGGAAAATAACGCGACATGTTTAGATTGTTATTTTTCCTAGATTAAAGTATAACACCAAGGATAAATATAGCATGTATTTTAATAATACAATTGATATCGCCATTATATCTATGCCGTAAACTGGACTTTAAACTATAATCAGTTATTAAAGTACGCTGCTGTGGATATTGAGTTCAAAACCGATAAATCATGACCGCGATAGAAATAACCAACCACATGCCTTGAGCAGGAAAGGAACGATTATAAATACAAGTATTTAAACAATTCAGCCTTTATCAGCTGACGTTACAAGAAAACGCATTTCTTACAGCTCTAGCTATTCTAAAACAGCGTAAAAAATTATTATGGAATGCATCAACTTAAATACAAACACAGGGGCGAACAAATAATTGAAAAAGGAACCGAACTATATTATACGAAGAATGAACGACATTGAACTTAAAGGTGAGTGAAGACGCGCCTCGCATGTCCCCGACGGAAGAAAACTAACACTAATATAAATCTTCTATAAATAGCCACTTGGCTTTTGGCCACAAGGAATATTCGATCAAAACAAAACAATGATGTACGTTCCAGAACAATCTATGCCATTTACTTACACAATATATATTAGGTTCTACACGTTCCGCAAATTTCTGGAAAAGAGAGAAATAAGAAAATAGTCTCATTTCTGCCTTCTCTCAACACTTATCAGCTCTTCATCTTTTGGCAAAAGTAGCCCAAGAAATAAATAAAGACACGCTTTATTTTTATTCACTAAACTTTTTTTACGGTGGTAGGGCCACGCAGCAGTTTCGGCTGTTGCACGAATGGGCAGGCTCGTCCGGGTAAGTACCACGACCTCACAGAAGACCGGCGTAAAGTGGAAGTATATTACTTTAGCGTCGTCTTTATTTCGTCTTGTGAGTGAGGTGGCCGGAGCCCAATTTTCAAAAGGTTGTCATCGCATCTGGAATCCTCGGGTGTAACAGATGTACGGCGGTATTGGGCGGCGGTATTTACTTAACATCAGGTGAACCGTCTGCTCGTTTGGCAACTTTTCACATAAAAAAAAAACTTAAATATAATAGCAACTATGACGCTATGATGATACAACTTAAAACGCATTTGGTATGACATATTCTGTTGTAGTAACTCTTACGGTTTCTTGATTAATTAATTGTCTTAACAAAAAGGCTCCATAAAGAACGTACTTTTTTTACGAGACAAAACAAAATCACATCGCTCCTTTGTTACATTGTTATTTATTTAATACAGCGACAACGGTGTTCATGAGATAATAGCCTTCCGTAAAAACCAACAGACACTGGTGTTTTTATGTATGGATAATTTATTAATTTCTAATACGCAAAGGTATTAGTTGCACAATATGTATAATATAATCAGAAGAAACTTGTTTACGCAACGAAATATCAGGAAGTGTCACCGAATGAACGGAAACGGAAATTCTACAAGCGAAAACAATTGCATGGAGTACTCTAGGAAGAATTATAGAACATGGAGATATAAGACAGTGTTACGATAAAATGGGGCTTCATAATGCTGCATGCCACCCAATATGTTAACAAAAGCAATACGTGCACAGGATCCTAATGTTCCGACGACTGTTCGATTGTGCGCAACTACGAGCGCTCGAAACGGTTCCACCTTTTTGGAATATTTTCGAGGTCTCTTCGCGAATATGTAGCGTTGACGGTGATAAGTCAGACCAGGAGAAACTCCGATGTAGTTTTTAAAAGTCAAACAAGCATGAGAAAAAATTAAGAGACTTACGGCGAAGCTATTTTTATTAAGAAAAACGTCTTCAAATATCGCACTCACTACTTTCTATTTGATGTGGAGGAGTTCCATGATGTTCCCCTGGAGTTTAAGGCTCTATAAGAATTACATATACCGATTACTAATATAGTAAATTTAAAATCGGCTCATAAATAAATGAAAGATACCTGATAGATATACTTCAGGTCACTGTCACTGGAGTACCAAAAATTATTTTTACAGTGTTTTTGGCACTCTAAACATAAGACAAAAATACAACTGAATTTTGAACCTCCTTTTTTTAGAAATCGGTTGGGAATCGTTGAACACAGATAACTCTAAAACCACGCGTTCTAGCGAAGTGTTTCGCCCCCTAAATCATAACGCCGACAGCATAGAACTGGAACAGTTTATCAACGTCAGATTATAATGTCAGCCTCTCCAAAGTAAGGATGGACACGCATTTAAAGAGACTGAGTGCATTTGCCACTTAAGACTACAAGCTGGGTATCGTCGGGTGACAGTTATCGATCAGTAGCCAGTTTTAAATAGACAAAAAAATGCATGCACTATTCAGTTAAACTACTACCGAGTTATATCCGCAATAAGCAATAAAGCTCATTGACTAATACATTTCTTTGCAATCTCTGAGTAACAAAGCAATTTCTATTCAATTTTTAACCACTTGTCCAAAATCATAGTCAACAGGTACAATCTGTATGCTTTCTAACTTTCGTTTTTATGGATCCGATCATCCGTTTGATAGATCGGTTCTATCAACACGTCATATCTTCATATTAAAAAGAAACTGAAATAGAGAAGTATTTAAATTAAACAATAAAATTGATCATTGTTGAACATAAAAGAGAATTGAAAAAATAGTACAGATCCATTCATTGAACATCATGTTCATTTCGTATAAAAGAAATCAATATACGATTGATAATAGCACAAAATTAACGAAAAGTTTCACCGTTATAATTCAATTTACATTTTGCACTGGGTCTACGCAAATCGTTTTATTACTTTACATAAAATTAGATAAATCTTATAGCATATAGTGGTTAAATCTTACTCACTGTATGCACTGTTTTACGCGACTAGAGCCCTTCGTTTAATATTACAACCTATTTCTGTGTTTGGCTAACCGCTGATTATAAAAATAAAGGCATACCATACTATAGAGTAATGGAACCACGTTAACCGTTATCTTGGGGTCGCTTGCCGTTACTTCTTTTATAATTACGCAAACATAATTTAACGAATAACGACACGAAACAGGAGCTTTATCCAATATAGAACTATTAGCTAATATGTTTAAAATGTTTTAGATTCCATTTTATTAGGTACCATCATGTAATAAATCACCATGATACCACTCCCTTGTTGTTACCACATGATGTGCTCAGCGCGATATCTTAGATTACAGCTGTTGTCCTTCTAAAGCTTCAGCAGTATTTAAATCAGCTAAACGTTATCTAAACAGCTTTTGAAAAAAGCAAGCTATTATTTTACGCCTCAAATCAAAAACGGTAAACGATGAAGAGCGGCGAAAATGTTATTGGAATCGGGCAATGCTATTTTGGGACTCTTGTTCAATTTAAACATCAAATCAAAAAGGTGCTAAGAAACATTTTCTTACATTTACGAAAAAACTACATACTATTGAATAATAATCCGGTCACGGTGCAGGTGCATGCTGCAAAACAGTCCAAACATCGGCAATTTACAATTAACGTGATATACAGTAAAAATTGTTTCACTTAAGAAGCTGATGTCGAGTTACTTCTCTTTAGTGCATTTTATAAAACACGACCATCCCGATACGTGTTACGTGCTTACCCAACACGTTTCACAACCCTAATGTCTGCATTAATTTTCTACAACACCCACCAATTGTTTAACTAAAATTGTAACTATCAGCCCGTTTTCACGCGTTATTCATTTAGGGTCAACGATAACCTTGCAATTAAATACTTCAAGTGCAAATTAATAAACCTCCTCACCCTAATCTCCACGATTTTAATTTAAATATTGTTTCTGTAATTATTGAACGCAGCATGTTGTTTCCTAATGATTCATTCTATGCAATAATATGATCGTTACCGAAAACATTGACCTTGGTAAAGTTAGATGACATCACATCTTATGTTAGAGCCGAGCGATACACTTATTTTGGTATATTCCTTGTTATTCTATTAGTAGTTTAATTTCGTCTCTTTCTAGCGCACAACGTTACTTTCATTACATAAGGCGTACATTACATTACATAAGAAATCCCAAATGACCGTTTTGGTTTGCTGAAAATGAATTATTATACGCGACCTTGACCGGCAGCGATCTAAATCAGCCGTCTTCAGACGCGCGTTTTAATACTTGAGAACGTTAAAAAAATACTCACCGAAAAACTAAGATCCTCCTCGTGGTCTGTGTAATAGTCGAACAGCGCAACGGCATGCGGCACACTGGAGTCTGGGACGTATTGTTCGTCTAGAAGGTTCTCGGCTAGGAACTCTTGGTCTTCGACCCACGGGACCACATCATCGTCGACATCTGGCGGTGGCGGAGGCGGTGGTATAGTTGGCATTGGAGGGGAGGCCTCCCTTTCTGGTGAGCTTTCATGATCCCATCTGATCTGTTTCGAATCCTGTGGCAAAAGAAGGGAGGGTTTTTACCAATTGATGAACAGGCAATAGAGATGAAAATTTGTGGAAAAAATGGACGAAAGGTGGGTTCACCTGAGATGAAACCTTAAAATTTGTAAAAAAACGGTATAGAGTTACAATATTGATACTATATACCATGGATGAGCAACCCGCGGCCCGCGGGCCGTTTGCGGCCCCTTAATCATATTTATGCGGCCCGCCAAGCATTTCTAAAATTGAATTTATTTTATCGAATTTCTCCCATCAATATATTGTTATAAAATTAATTATAATAAAATGGTAGTATATACTGAACCGAAATATTTTTTGTTCGTTTTTCTGTTCTTTTCTTGTTTGGTTTTTACATTGCATTAAAATTTATATACTTTACTTTTTTTTTAATTTTATATTTTTTTATTCTAATTTTTATTATAAATAAATATTCGTTAATTATTATGGGCGGGCCGCCAAAAAAATTTGAAATTTAAATTGGCCCATTGATTAAACAGGTTGCTCACCCCTGCTATATACCATAACTAGAATACCTAAAGCATTAAAAGAAAGCGTTATATAGTAACAGTGCATGTAATCCGCAAACAACTTATCACTTTTGATGTTAACAGGACAGAAGACTAACGAAATACCACGCGCTCATCAAGTATCAAAAACTATATATGGTCTACACACCGTGCATTTTTCTCAAACGATAAAGCGATCAACGGACATGTAGCTATCCTAATGTCTCTCTCGACGCTAATAATCAGCAATGATGCTCGCTTCGCGCCCAGGAAATTGGTTTCCGTTGCCAACGCTAACAAAACAACATTGTAGGTACATAAATTCAGACAACGTATTTGTAAACGTGTTCGCGTAAAAACAAGCTTCATTCCTAATGAGTCGAAGAATATTTGAAAACCATAAACAAAATTGACAAATACTAAATAGAACTAAAAATTCTCGAACCAATGAACATGATTTGCATTGCATTTCTCTAAAACAGCACTTCGCTAAAACTAGTTTTGCTTTGTGGTCTGCATATACCATCAAGCACATATCCGAATTAAATAAAACGCGTAAAACTGACGACCAATTTATTTAGCATATATTAGCGAATTCCAAGTTCGGAGATTTTATGTGCGGTGACTAACACATAGCTGTGACGTAATGCAGAACCAGAAAACAGTGATATTCATCAATCTTAAAGTCAGCACTACCAATCTGCAACAATTTGAATTTCACTGTGTGGGAAAATTTGCGCTTTTAAATCAAATTTGACACCAAGACATTACTTAAGAATCTGGCTTTCTTAATTGTACATAGTATTTCTTATACGGATATCCACTTCCTATGGATTTGTGTTTCAATTCAAGACTTCTCAACTTTATAGTGCACTTCTTAAACTGGTATCAATTTCCCAGAAATTTATCAACTTCCTATTAAAACGGGAATTCGAATCAGTTTTTTTGATTTGTAAAAAATTTGTATGTATAGATTCATTATATATTGTATGGAACTGAACACTACTATGTGTAAGGCATAAATATAGAAAGAGGCAAATAACATTTTGAAAATTGGCAATTCCTATTGTTGAAAAAAAAACAATTTGTAATTTCCATACTAAAATGACATCTTTTAATTGATTAATTGTTGGATTGAACAGAATATAGTATTAGAGATTGAAAAAATTTACTGACATAGAATTATAAGCTTTAATAATAAAAGCAAAGGGAAAATAACTAAGATTACTTACGTAACTGTCTATAAGACCATTGCTAACTTTCTGAATTGGCACTGTTGTGTTTACATTCATGGAGGTAATGGAAAAACTGCTTCCAAAATTATTCTTAAGTAATGCAACATTCTCGGGTGGTTTAGGCCTCGTTGGTTTTGCTCGAATAATAGTTGGGCCTTTTAATACTGGATATGTCTGAATATTACAAGACACATCATAAGGATCTCTACTTATTATTGGTTTCTTCATCACTGGAGGCTTTTGAGATACAGGCAGCGGTGAGAACGGATCTGCTAAAGCTAAATCATCTAAGGTGTCTTCTTTGTTAATATGTTTCTTATTATTAAGAAATAAATCAAAATCATCTTCAAAACCACTCTCAGGCTGTGAAACATTGCCACCACTAAAATGATTATGTTGGTTTGTGGATGTTGTAGCATCTGAACCAAAGCTGTCTACACTAAGACCATCACTGCTAGACCGTGTTGTGAATGTTGGTGAGCTTGGAGGAGATGAAAGATCAATCAAGGCACCAGTTTGAACATTACGAGTTTCACACTTTGGAAAACCTTACTGGTATCCACTTCACTGTTAAAATCTGCAATCATATTCTGTTGCATTGTAGGGTTTTGTTGGTTCACTAATGTTTTACTTTTCCGGGACAAGAGTGATGTTAACACTGTTGGCCTCCTTATAAAATGAGAGGGCTTCACTGGAACCTCAGGTTGCCGTGATAGCTTTGGTGGTGGTGGGCGTGGTGGTGGCTTCTTTTTCTGGGCATACTGGGGAGTTGGTTCAAAAACATCTGCTCCAAATGGATCATCATTCCAATTTGTCACAGGTGAATAGCGATTCACACTTTTCAGCATGGGAACTGAGGGAGCTGGTCTTGTTGGACCCTTCATATCTATAAAAGAAACACTGCTAATTATTAGCCAGTCACACTCAATGTTATTTAAAATACCTAATTTTTCAAAGTATGTTAAAAATTTAATATAGATATTATTTGATAACCTAACAGCCAAAAACCCATAAAATAATTATTAAGAGATTTTGTAGAAAAATTAAAACCAATAATTTAAAATGTAAATTATCTGATTAAAAATTTAACTGTGTTATTTATTTGGTGAACAACACTAAACTGGACTGCAGGCCAAAATTGTATTCACGAAATGAATACATCAGTAAGACGATAAAGCGTTGATAATGTGGAGATACACTTACTGACGTAAATTTAGCACTGCGCTTTGCGTAGTATCATTTAACACAACACAATTGGGTGCGGGTACCAGGTACGAGATAGAACGGCCTTGATTTGACGTGCCGTAATATCGCACAAAGGATTTAATAAATTTTTATTATTTTAACGTAGATATCTGTAACCTATAGTATTCTAACAACTGAAGTATAGTCAATGTTGTTACAATAATTTACTACGTACCGTGCTTAAGTAAATCCATCACAAAATATCTACGATTCTAGCTTAGTGACAGTTTGACGCCTACTCATATAAAAAATAAACAATTTACGAAGAACTAAGAACTTTCGGAGAAATACAATGCCTTATAAAAATTAAGAACAACAATGCCATTCTATCCTAAAAACTTATATTCTTGGAAACGATTAAAAAATGCGTAGTCAAAACGCCAACTAACAGTATCAGTCCTGTCTAACTCTAAATCGCAGTAAACATGTACGTACTATGTATTATCTACGCTAAATCGTAAAAATAAAAATGCACTGATGACTCACTGTCACTGTCACAATAAACCACTGGGATAGTGGCAGTATATACTAAAGCACTCTGTGGATAGTGGATTTGTATTCTGTGCTTATGTCTTTTTCCTTTCATTGGGTCAGGATGACAGTTAGACGGCGGTGTTTCCAACTACATAACATATAATAACAATAAAATATATAATATAATAACGATAACAATAAAAAACCAAAAACTTGGTTATTTGAAATTTTCCAACACTGCCATTTGACTATTTTCCATAGGCCTTGCAGTTTTGCCAGAATTCGTGATAAACCATGTTTACCCTTAAAAACTGACTTTCGATTCTCCTTCGAACTCGACCTTCCTTCCTCAATTCGACCGTATATATTTTTATTTTTTTATGTATGTTCGTGGATAACTCGTCGTATAGGAACCGATTTGTATGATTCTTTTTTTGACGTAAAGGAGATATCCCAAGGGTAGTACCATGATAAGAAAACCCGGAAACTTACCCAAAACGCAATGTACAGTTTATTAGAGAGAGAGAATACCTCACCTCTTCTATCATAATATTCATGAAGCAGTTGCTGCAGTTCTTGAAGAATTGTTCTTTTCATAGCAATGTTGACGCTGATCAAGTTGTTCTCCATATTGCCCATGAAGTATATTTATCTGTAAAAAATAATGCCGTGCATGTGCAAAAGTTTGCAATGATACAAATCAATTGTAAATCTGCCCTTTGAATCTAAAACCGAAAGTGAAGGTATTTGTGATTTACAATCAAATGTTTTTCATCGATTTGCGACTCTAATTAATAACTGTTTACGTTTGAATACCATTATTCTTTACACGCGTGATACTATTGTAAATAAGGAAAAATTACATAACGTGTTTTAGTGTTATGACAAAAAATGTTTTATTAAAAATAATATTAATACTATTAAATACCATAACCAAAATCAACGATATTCAATAGAAACAACAACAAAGGAAAAGCACAATTTAAATGCCATCTACATAAATGTAGATGGCATTTAACCTATAAATTATCACTTGTTAAATTATAAAAGCCTTCAATATTATTCGGTATTACTTTAAAAAAGCAAACAAAACAATCAGCGAATCAGCGACTTGCGTCGACTTCCCATTGTGACTGTGTCTCGAATCGTTATGTTTCTTTCTCAATCTGCCTCGTTCATTAAGTATCTATCTAGCTCGCTCAACGCGGAATCGACTTCGACTTCGTACTGTCTTACCTTGCGGAGCATACCGAGCTTCATTGAGACCAATTTAGCCTTACTTTCCAATTGACCGCGGAACTGGACATTGCTCGAGATTTCGACACCAAGTATTCCGCTGTGGCAGACAGGGAAGTGTTCTCAAAATAAGGAGTTACGACAAATGGGGACTTGGACTAAGTTTAGACGACTCCAGTTTAGGACTTTTGTTAACAAAGTCTCGACTTCAGACACAAGCTTGTTCCGGCTCTCGTAGACGTTTTCCCGAGAAATGTTAGTACGGCCAGTGTACGAGACATCCACAGTGCTATCATCCACATAGCAATGAACGTTGCCGATTTGCAACATATCATTGATATGCGGAAGAAACAGAGTGGAAGACAGTACGCAGCCTTGTGGAACACCAGCATTGACAAATTTAGGATCAGAGCATACACCGTCGACGACGACTTTGATGCTTCGATCTGTTAAAAAGCTGGTGATATATTATAGCAATTGACGCAAATTCGATACCCCTAAAATAAATATCGATATATCGTGATTAAAAATATCGACGATGCATATCGACAATTATATGATATATATTTTTTGCCAATGCCTAGTAAAATAATCCTACGACAATAGGAGTGAGGTATACTAGGCTAAATATAGAGTACCTGTTACGCATGTTCCTGTTACAAAATAACAGCCTGTTATTTAATTCTATGTGCCAATTTGTGTAGCTGTTACCATAGTAACAGCTATAACAGTATTTTACTTTATGTTAACGTCCGTACTTCTCTTCCTAACAAAGTTATCAGACCGATGCAAGAAAAAGAAAGAGCTTGTAACAGTGACAGTGTTCAGTAACAAATGTCACAAGGTGTAACAGTTTTTATCTCATTCTAACTAAGGTAATAGTCGTAAGCATGAATAAAAAAAAGCTTGTGACAGCGTGTTAAGGAGCAACTTGTGTGGAACAGGAACTGTTATTTAAATGTGCTCGTAACAGGTACCATCGGCTATCTCAATATACCTGTTATATTTACTTCTTACGTTATATGCGCCTCACTCCATGACAGTGCTGCCAACTTAGAGCTTTTAGGACCAAATTTAGGGCAGAAATATAAGGCTATTTTAAGGGTCCAAAAACGCTTAGGGACATTTTTAGGGGCATGAAATATTTTTCATGCATCACTATTTTAACTGACCAAAATGAGTAAAAAATGTCGCCAAATTAATATAATCAATGAAATTTAAGTTAATGTTATTTTATTTTTTTACTTATTTCAACTATTTGTAATGAAAAATTATTAAAATTAAGTTACATTTGTTTATCTTCACAAAATGTAAAGCCCCAAAATGACAGGGCGTTTTTAAAATTTTATTTTTTGCTATTTAGGATTATTTCATCTTGATTTAAGGGCCATTTTTTATATTAGTTGGCCGCTCTGTGCCACGAAAAGAATACGATTACGATCATCTTGATATACAATATCTTATATAATTTCCATATATCATACAAAAGCATCTCTGTGATTTCGATTCACTTATAAGCTTGGGCGTTGGCGGTGATTTTTGACACTGGTGCCCATTTGTTGTTTCCCAAACAACGTCCGATGTCAACAACGCTGTTTTCGACAAAGATGATTAATGAGCTAAAGTGACATAACGAAATAAAGTACCACATTGTCTTACGTACATTTTTTGTTTAAACAATACCTACGGAACTTCATATAGGATCCATATTTTTACATCAATGTCAATGTCCCGCGTATCAACCTATATTTAACAGACTGTAGTTATCTCTTACCGTTGGCGCAAACGTTGTTCTTTATGTTCAAAGTGTTTTGTTGAAACAAATGGAATAAAAATTAGATCAGTCGTTATCGTTTATTTGGGATGATGAAATAAGGAGACGGATGTTTTTTATTAAAAATATTTAGTATTTTACAAATGTTGTATTTGCATTTAAAAATATTAATTGCTCTAATTAATAGGTGGTGAGCCAAATCCTTCAAAATATCCGCAGTCATTTCAAAAAAAAATTACGTAGAGTCCCTCCGCACGGAAGAAGTGAAACTTCGAGTGACACACATTCACTCTCGCTCTGTCTCTTTCTATTTCCCCTCCCCAGGAGCCTTTAACGTTTAACGCAACAGTGCCTTCATACCCCCTTCATGGTAGCGTTCAACGTTTAACGCCACCTTGTTGGAAGTCGCATTGGAAGTTTCACTTGCAAATGTGTCATTTCATGCAATTTTAACTCTGCAGCGTAATTTGTTTTCGCGCCATCTTAGAGTTCAGACGGCTCGCGCGCTCATAACTCGTTAATTGATACTACCGACTCTCGCGGGACTAACGGGATAATCGTGCATCATCGATGTCGGTGTCCGTGATCAACCAATCTCTTTACCAATTCGCTTGTTGATGTCGGTGACATCCGATGTTAAGCATTTCACCAGCGAATCAGCTATACCGCCTAACGGAACATATTATCCTGAAAGGCCTAAATCACCCGAAATGCTCTCTCTTTCTCGAAAGGCACTGTTTTCTTCGATGTCGCAAAGGCACAACGGCTTGATTTACAAGCTCGCACTCAAAGTGCCAGACAGGCTTGTACACACCATTCGGGCCTTCCTGTCGAACCGCTCCCTTCGATATCGAGTTGTGGGCGCCCTCTCCACAAGCCGCCGCCTCACGGCTGGCGTTCCACAAGGCTTCTGCCTCTCACCATTACTTTTTACGCTCTACACGAGCGATATACCAAAAGACAACCGCGTCAATCTCGCGCTTTTCGCAGATGACACGGCCCTCTTTTACACAGATAAAAATCTTAATCAACTCTCTAATCGTCTCCAAAGCGCCGCCGACCGCCTCGGCTATTGGTTCCGCAAATGGAGAATAGAAGTAAATCCCGAAAAGAGTGTGGCGATTTACTTCACACGAAGTACTTAACCGTCACATCTTTATAAAGGTCGTCGCCAATTCAGAAAGCTAGGGCAAATATCTCTTTATGGCCAACCGCTCCCCTGGGAGAAAAAGGTCAAATATAATTTAGAAGTGACTTTCGACTCGCGTATGTCATTCACAACGCATATTAATGACGTCCGTAACAGAGCCGCGTTCATCTCCGGCCGGCTTAGCACTTTAACTAACCAGTCAAGTAAAATGTCCTTAAGCCACAAATTACTTTTATACAAAGCTTGCGTACGATCAATCATGTCCTACGCATGCATGATTTTCGCCCACACGCACCCTACTCACTTGCACAAATTGCAAGTAGTGCAAAATAAGTTCATCCGCCGCGCAACCGGTGCGCAGAGGTTTCAACGCAACGTCGACCTGCACAGCGATTGCGGACTCCCGACGATTCGCGAAGACCTGACCAAACGTTTCTTCTATAGAGCATCATCCCAAGCCTCTGGTGGTAAGCGCAGCAAATTACCAACCCGATACAAACGCGAACGTCAACAAGCATCGCCCTCGAAACGTCTTCATCGACCCGGTCTAGGAAGGGGACTTAGGTACGTCAGACCCACCGTCGGGGATCCCGCCGGATAACACTTACTACATACACACAGTTTGTGTAACAACAAACACATTAGTTCGCCCTCGCCTCCGAGCACGGCGAGACCAACACAACGCGTACACAAGGTACACCCGAGTTCCAGCACGGTTCTCACCGCCCCCAGTCACCGATTAGCTAAAAACACAGTCGACGGCCATCGGGGTCCACAGCACAACCTCGATGGCTCTTAGATGACATGCCGTAGTTAAACGCACGCACGAGCACATGCGTGGCCCTACCCACAGCGGAGGGCCCAAGCCCGTGGGTCTGGCTAACCCACCGGTTCTGTGTCAGATGAAGCTTTAATAGTCTCGGGACTGAAAGCACATACATTAGTTAATACAAGACCAACGAATAAAAAAATCTTAGTGATTCTAGTGACTACATTCTATCTATAACGAATGGCAAACTGACATCGGATATCAATTCAACATCGTCGTTCATCATTATTAGAAAAACGACCACGAAAGGAACATCTCTATTTATTTACGATGTCAATGTCATATTGCTGTACATTTTACCCCAAGTTTTTATTTTTAAAATGCCATGAATTGGTTGCGTGTCCGCATTTAAAAGTGTTATAAATAATAAATATCGGTGCGGAAAAGGAAAAATACAACACAGAAATAAAAATACGCTATTTATAAAATGCATGAAAAAACGTTATTGGAACTACCCCTTGATATTTTAGTAACCATAACAAAATTTTTAAATAGTCGCGATGTTCTTAATGTGATGTGTACATGCAAAACATTACATAACTTTATTATAAATGACAATACAATATGGAGAAATATATGTCGAAGGGGTTTGGTAATTCAAAATCCCCTAAATAGGTATATAAATTTATTCTTCGATATCCTTTTAAAGACGTGAGAAAATAGCCCATTTTTGTATAGTATTTATACAAAAAAAAGCTATTTTATGACATTTTTTTATTGATCAACATTATTTACCATATTTTAGTGAAGCTGACTCTAAACCCTGGTATGAGAGATGTAAAATTTCACATAATTGGCGCAAAGGAATATATCTAAACAAGGTAAGCAAAATAAGACATCGGGGGAAATATTGTTAGTGTTATGAGAAAATAATATTTACAGTTTTCCGTTTTCGTAATTTATTGCCCGTATGTTGTTTTGTATACCTTTTTTTTTTTCACCTGAAGAAATGAAGCATCAAATTCATAACAATTTGACAAATTCAGTTTAATATCCGCCCAGTTTCTTATTTCCAGGAGTAGCCTCCTCAATAATCATGTATTGCATATGTATTAACAATTTTAGTAATTATACATATGGATTAATAATGATAATAGTAATTCATTAATAATATTGCATAGATAATTATCTTTTAACATTGTATGATTTTTGTTTTTGAAATCCATATTGCAACATATAAAGTTATCTTAAGAGTTCCATTCCCAAAGGGTAAAACGTGACCCTATTACTGAGACTCCCCTGTTTGTCTATCAGACGGAGATCACCAGCATGTATCTCATGAACCATGATAGTTAGACAGTTGAAATTTTTACAGATGATGTATTTCTGTTGCCCCTATAACAACAAATACTAAAAAATAATAAAAAAATATTTAAGTAGGGCTCCCATACAACAGACATTATTTTTTTGACGTTTTTATAGATAATGTACCGGACTCTGAGTCCGATTTTGACTCGTTTTTGGCCAGTTTTAATATTTAGAAAGATAAAATAATTAAGGTTTTAATTCTTATTATAATACAGTGTAAGCTCTCTATAACAAAATTCTTGTGACCAAGTGTCAAGTTTGGACTAATAGAATATTTGTTATATGGACATAACATCAAAAAAATACCTCTGCCTTTTAATCTTCAGAGCACAAGGACCTCTTTTTTTAATTAGCTATAAAAAAGACGAGTACTTAAATCAAACTTGGTTTGTTAGAATTCTACTGCGTGTTGTTACAATCAATAACACACATATAGGGGATAGCTTTTTAAAGTAGTATTAAATATTTAAATTCTTTAAACATCAATATTTACAGAGTTATTAAATTTTCCAAAACAAAGAATTTTAGAACACCCTTACATATAAAAGCGTAACATAAAGTTCATTTGTAAAGGTCACAAAGCATAAGAATGGGTTGAATGAATTTAAAAGAGACAAAACATACTATTAGAAGGAGAGGCTTGTAATACGACGCTGTGGCGCGAGTTGTATAGGATGTTACAAATTTTGTTTCTTTTTTACTTAATTAGTTTGTTTGAAAAAATTTATTTAATTATGGATTTTGTTTAACGTTAATATTTTTTTATGATTATTGGCAAGTAGCGTTAGACGCGTGTTCATTTATTGTCGCGATGGTAACGACACGCTGTATATTGGCTTTATGTAAATATCTTCATTCAACAATAAAAACTGAACATTATGTCACAAACTCAATGAAGAAATTAAAAGAAGAAATAAAATAAAAAAAGAAACAATAAAGTAAAAAGAAATCACAAAAATAAAAAAGTATAGTACAATTGTTCATTATAGAGGATGACCCTGACATTAGATGTTATTTTTTTCTGAAGGAGTTTGTTATGGAGAGTTTATGCTGTAATTCATTGTTTTAGGTTATCCTCCATCATGACACACTTTACATGCCCTGGCTTGAATTTCATGAATCCAAAAATCTTTTATTATCTCTTGGATCAGACCTTTGTTGCTTTTCCACCAACCAGAGAGGTTTACCAGATTGCCGTAGAACCCTTTGGGCACTAGAAGTTCCAACAGTCAAAAGATATGATGTGAGGACCAATGATATATCAAGATTTGTTATAAGGGATAACATTATAGTTTGTGGAAATAGGTATTATTTCTCCCATGTTTTTACATTTATTTCTATACTGGCTTTCACTGGAAGTCTTATTTCAAAGTAGACTACACCTGGATATGGAGCTTTCACTGCTTGTGAGTCTTTATTGAATATCACTTTTGAAAGGCTTTAAATTAAAATTCTTAAATTTGTCATTATTTACAAAAAATGGTTACTGATATGATTTATAAAATTGGTTCATCTTGAGACTTACATTCCACCAGAAAGGATTTTTTAAATTGTTTTTTTTTTTATACCAGACAAGATATGATAAAGACGATTTATGATCTTGCAATGCGGGCTGGAAATTTATTGACAAATTCAACTTGATAAGCGTTGACAGGATTTTACAAGAAAAATAGACAGCCGCATTAGAAATAATAACCATCATTATACCATCCATGCAGTTAAAGATGATTGGTATTAGATTAATTATGACAGATATGAGGTTTTGTATTAGATTTTTTTGTAAGAGAACTCTGACATGTAATTAATTGTTGCAATAACAACCCTTAACCCTGGTCCATGGTACAATACAAACCCCTTTATTCCCAACTGCAAGACCAACACAATAAAATCTTAACAGTAACTCATGATTATTTTGTGATTTTTCAAACTTAATATATTTATTAAGAAAAGTGTGATATTTTAGAGATGGATGCATTGCCATTTACCTATTCAACACTCCAACACGGAGGCCATTACTACTCTGCCACAAAGACGATTGCCATCACAGTGGTCAAGTGGAGGTGACAGCTGTTGAGGGGATCAAAACCACAAGCAGCTTGTGCGTGGTCACAGGCTCGCAGAAGAGCTCGGAATTATGCATGTGGTCATGGCACTTTACGGATGATGAGAATTTGTATGAAGAACAAAATATGAATTGCAGTAAGTAGTCATTTTATTTTATGCAAGATTGTGGTAAAAGATGTAATCTCATCTTAAGTGAGAACCGCCATACACGGACATCTGAAATAGCAGTAGGTTTGATGTGTTACCACCAATATCGTAGGGCCCAGTTACCTCAACCCAGACAAAACACAGAAGTATCTTATTTTTCCTGTGCTTAGCCAAAAAATGAAGGCTGGCAGTCAGCTCTAAATATTTCACCCGGTCTGTGGCCATGTTGAAAAGCTCTGCGACACTTGATTGCGGTGATTCCGGTACATTCCCGGATATTATTCTTGTTACGTCCAAAAACTCCTTGCGGCCACCTTGCCCATCATTATGGACTAAAGAAACTCGTATCATATATAGAGAGGTATCTCTAGGTTACGTAGGTACTCCGGATACCTTTCTTCTTTTGATGATCTGCATCAGTTCGCGTTTCCTCCCAGCACTGCCTAGAACCCCTCAACGTTGGTCACTTCGTGGTTTTTTTTCATACTTCAAATGCACACACGTTCCCGGATTAGGTCTTTAAGGGCAAGGCGTCACATCTGTTTAGAATCTATATCTTGGGCCATATATAGCATTGAAGTAAATGAGTGCGCAAAGATATTTTGAGATATGACTGCGGGCGATTTCAATGCGGACTCCATTTCGGTTGTTTAATTCAAGATTGAGTTACAAGACGATCGTGAAGTACTCGATCGAACGCTTTTTGTAATCGATGAAATAAAGGAAAAGGTTTTTTATATATCTTTGCATTTTAGACCAAAATCTGAGTTGCAAAGAAAGCCCCTCTTGTGCCTACTCCAACTCCACGCCATGTACGTAGGGGCACACTGAAAGGATCGGTAATAAGAAAAACACATGCACGGTATAACTAAATTGTATTTTATTGTTTTTAGAAGTTCAACTTAATGCAATTTTCCATTCGTGCAAAGCAATCATTAAAACAGTAATTCCAGTCTGAATTTGATGTTGAGAAAATGGCTGATTTCTACGCTTCCACAGCTGCTTCGGTGTCTTTAAACCGTTGACCGCGTAATAAAACTTTCATTCTAGGGAATGTAAAGAAATCGTTTGGGCTCAGGTCAGGACTGTACGGAGGATGGCTCATCAGCTCAACATTTTCCTGCTTCAAAAAAACATTTGTGACCGCTGTTCTTGGTCGACCTGCAGAAGAAACAGTGCTGAGTGACACACGACCGCGTCGGAACTCGGCATACCAGCGGTATATTGTCGTTTGACTCGGTGCTTCAACATCATAAATCGAAACAAGTTCGCTGAGACATTAATCTTGAGAAAAGCCGCTACGAAAATTGTGATCAATTATGGCAAGGAAATGTTCACGCATGAGCTTCATTTCTGTTAACGACTTGTCAACTTTAAACCAACATAGTTTTTGTTTTTAAATATTTTTTTAATTGTTTGAATGTCATTTAGACTCTAAAAAAGTATTCACATTTCAAATTCTAAGTATTCTAATTCTAAAAAATTAGTAACTCTAGTAGTAACTCAATCCGAAATTTTCTATTCCCGATCATTTCAGTGTGCCCCTCGTATACATGAATAGTATTAAGAAACAGTTTTAACACTTGGCTCATGAGGCTAATTGTTCTGAACTCATCATGCCTCTTTCCATTCTTCTTCTTAAGCAGCTAGATAAGAGCTGATTTCAACCAATCGGATGGTAACCGTCCCGAGTTGTATACGTGGTTGAATAAAAGGTTTTTAAGGCCCTCCAAATGGTCGTCCTCTAGAATTTTGAGCACCACGATATAAATGTCGTCGCTGCTTTCTCTAACTTCGCATTGCGCAGCGCCTTTCTAACTACCGTTTGCAATTTCGAAAGACCATGCTCTAGTGTCTGTAATTATGTAGATAATACATAATTACAGACACTAGTAAAACACTATGCGCATCGCACAATATTTTTCTAGTGGTGGGATCGAACACGTACTGTCTGGCGCAAGAGGCAGATTATTGAATCTATTGTTGAAATGTATATTGATACATTTCAACAATAGGTCGTAAATAATTGTTTGCTTTTCTTTAAGGGAGAAAGTATATAAAACTTGGCAGAGATGTGGGTGTTCGATGCTTGGCTACAAACAGTTCGAAAGGCAAATTTGCTGTCGGCCTAACGGGATACAATAGACCACTCGTATTGGATTACAATACGTACGTAAACCTTTGTTTTACATACTTCACCGCTTTTATGTTGTGTTTAAGTTTTTATGTTTTCCCTTTCAGTTGCAATTTACTAACACCCTTTGACAAAGCGTGGAGAGGAAAGGTTGCCATTAGAGATATTCAATGGCATGACGAGAGCACTGTAACATATGTAACACATTCCGGTATGCTGTATCTCTGGGATACACGCGCTAACAATGTGGTAAATATAAATAATATTTTCTTTTCCTCATGAAGCATTGATAACGAAAAGTTACCAGTGATTTTATCATACATATTGAAGATCGCTTCAAATTTTACACCTGTTTGTTGATTCAAATTAATTTCCAAATTTTTAAATCTAGTATCGTGTACCGAACATAATTTAATTTGTTCAGAATTGAACTTGATCTTTTCTAAAAGAGAACAGAAATTGAAATAAAAGTTAATGCGATTAATTCAATGATTTCCAAAGGTAAAAGTAAAAGTAATATGTAAGTCAATGGATTGACTTGTTCGCCGGCTGCTTAGTTGAATTTTTTTGAAGTTTCTTTTGTTGCGTTTGGGAAGAATGATGAGAGTGAATTTTTACGCCCCGCGACACTTGAAAGAGATTCCAACTTCATGGTTACCATGACAACCAATTACACCTTTTTAACATTTACCTATAACTACAAGTTATTTCATTAAACCGATAGCTATTGCATTTGATGTCTTTTTTTCACATACTGGCACATGGGATACAATTTTTGGTTATTTTTATTTTGTTGCATTAAAGAAATATCACTTCTTACGTGCGTACATAAGTGTACACACACACACACACACGCGCACACACACACACGCACGCACGCACGCACGCACGCACACACACACACACACACACACACACACATTTTTTGTTGATTATTCCTCATCTTTTTCAGGTTTACAGTGCTATGGACACCTTCCAATCTTCATTGTACTGCGTGCGAACAGACAACAATAATGTGCTGCTTGCTGGCACGAGTGAGTATTCCCGCTGTGTGCTCTTCGACAAGCGCCGTCAGGGCAGACATGTTCAGGTACAGATCAATGAAATTTCTTCAGCGATACACACCTCCTGCGTCATCACTGCATAACAACAACAACATCAGGCTATCGCCGTCCACTGCTGAACGTAAGCCTCCCCCAAAGTGCGCCAACTATCCCGGTCCTGGGCAGCCCGTATCCATCCGCTGCCCGCCACCTTTCTTAAGTCATCTGTCCATCACTACGTTTTCCTAATCGTGGTGTCCACTCTAACACTATCATTGCACAAGCAGCGTTAATTAATCTATGTTATGAAAAAGAGATTTTTGTGTTACACTTGCACACTATGAATATGTTGAGCCGAATAATGCAAGTATATCTACTTATATGAATTATAAAAATATAGTAAATGTATAAAGTGGGCTACAAATATGTTCCTATAACATATTGCTATCATAAGAAAAGCAAGCAGGTATTTGAATGTAAACAGCAGGAAGGCCTTTGCTCGTGTTTTTGTATAAAACTATACTTCTTCTCATCATACTTCTTCATACTTCATACTCAAAAGATCGAGGATCATTATAAATTACAGATTTAATCCTTACTAATATTATAAAGGCGAAAGTTTGTATGTATGGATGGATGTTTGTTACTCTTTCACGCAAATAATACTGAATGGATTTTAATGAAACTACAATAATATATAAACATCCGAATAACACATAGGCTATAATTTATATACATATTTTATGTATATCTGTCTTTCTGTCTGAATGTTACGCAGTCAGCGTATTCTACGCACCAGTTATTTATAAATGTTTAAAGAAACTTGAAACAATGGACTTAAATGTTTTTTTATGCATTATTGAAAATGTTCTAAATTCTAAAAAAACTATAACCCTATTACTATTCTTTTGTTCTCAGATGTATTACACGCAAAAAAAGTCATCGCCAATTTACAGCTTGGCTTTCAGTTCATCTACACTGATAGCTGCAGCTGACAGAAGCATGGCGTTTTTAGACTTTAATGTAAACCCAGCAACTGTAAGAAGACGAGATTATTCACATATATTCGAATTTGTAAAAAGATAACTCTCATTTTTCAATAATATTATGCCATCTGTTATGTTTTAATGATGATTCATATATTCATATAGGTAATATATTCCTTACTTTACTGTTTTACTTTAAATCGAATACAGCATAAATGGTATTTTCGTAAGTTTTAGTGTTTTACTTAACAACACCATCTGAAATCAATAGGGATTAAGGTTAACAGTGTAAAAAAAAAACTAAGTACTATATAGACTATATATTACAATATTTTCTTCAGGTATATTATAGAATGTTTATTGCGTGGGCGCCCTAAAAGTAATTTGTTAATGTAAAAAAAATCTGCGCGCGAATTAAATAAAGATACGTTTAATTATAGACTCATTCCGCTTCGTGCTCTCGTACGGAACGGACGTCTCTCTAAGACGGAGGGCACATGCCACCCGAATTAGACGCCACTCGCAACCTCAGTTGCAATTTCAATCTTGTGCAAATAGTGCAGTAGTTTAGTGTTAGTGTAGTGTTGTGCTCGTAGGCAGGTTCCTGTTTGTAAGTAGAATCCTACACACACTTCTCGCCTCAGAGGCGGCATTGTTTCATTTATTAACTGTGTGCTTGTTGCAATAGGCGACAGCTAGGTACCCATCCTAGCGCACCTAAAGCGCAGGCAAATTTGTTGTTATTTCTAGGCACACTCTTCCCTGCCGCAAGGTGGGGAGGCTTATTTAGCTCACACACGCCGGCGGGGCTACAAGCCCCAAGCACTTACGTCGCGATGGGCTCCCTTTTCGAGGAGTTCGTACGCAAAGAATGCCCCGCTATGTGGCAACGTTTTCTCGCTTATGAAGCCGAGTATAGGCAATTAGCTGAACTCGCGTCGCCGCCATTGCCCGCACCGTCTGCGCCCGTTACCCCGTCGCCCTCCGCGACCTTAGAAGCTCCCGTCGCGTCGGCATCCGCTAACGCGAACTCGCCCGTAGCGCCTTCCGCGAAACCAAACCCGACCTCTTTTCGCTCCGTCGTACCCGACTCACAATCGGACGGCGGATCGGACATGGAGGGCGAAATGACCCCCGCTGAAAACGCGAACGCCGACGGCTTCACCGTCGTTAAATCGCGTAAAAAGAGCAAAAAACGCCCCGACAGCGACCCCGAATGCGAGGCCGCCTCAACGATCCGTCCCACCGCGACGCCCGCAAAAAAGCGGCCGCGGCGGCTAAACGATGCCCGAATTCGCCTCCGAGCGAAAAATAAAGCCTCCTCCACCCATCATCATTCAGGAGAAGGCTTTTTGTTCGTGGTTTGAACGCCACAATATCCGCGACCCCCGGTCGAAAAACACGCATATGGGTATCCGCGTATACCTTGACACTACGGACGACTTCCGTCGCGTAACTAAGTACTTGCGCGAAAACAAGATAGGTTTCCACACCTACTCTTTGCCCGAAGAAAGAAAACTTCGGGTAGTAATCAAGGGCGTCCCCAAAGAGTCGGATGTCGACAAGGCGAAGACCGACATCCGCACTCAGGGATACCCTGTGCATAACGTACGCCGCCTCAGTCACCCTAGAACCCGTGTTCCTATGGACATGGTGATGGTTGAACTTGACCCTACCCCGGAAGGTAAGGCCATCTTCAACCTGAAGAGGGTCTGTGGGCTCAGCGACCTCGTGATCGAGCCCCCGCGAAGATCGGGCGTTGTGGCGCAGTGCCACAACTGCCAACACTATGGCCACACGGCTAATAATTGTTTCGCTCACCCTAGGTGCGTCAAATGCACCGGTGACCACGGCACGCCCGATTGTACGCGGCCAAAAGATTGCGCAGATCCACCGGACTGCGTTAACTGTCATACTACCGGCCACCCGGCTAGCTACAGGGGCTGCGCTAAGCCCAAAAACCCCGCGCACCCGCGAAATCTACTTTGCCCAAACCCGCGCCCGTGAAATACGTTCCCGCGCCCGTACCCGTCGTAAACGCCTGGGCGAAACCCCAGGTGGCCGCGCAGGTAGTTGCGCCCCCGGTCGCCTCACGACCAATCGCTCCCGCCTATCAAACGGCGCCGACGCCGCAGGTGCAGTCGACACCGTCGGTTTTCGCCGAAAACAAGGACGACCCGTTCGCCCAAATTGCCAACATCTGCGCCTTATTAGACCGCATTAATAGACAAGAACTCGCCGTATTGTCCGCTAAAATAGCGGCCGCCACATCTGGCAACGCGCGATTTAAAGCCATTAGCGAACATAAAATGCTTGTAGAAGCCCTCTGGGCATTTACAAGCCAACCATAAACTTAATAGTCCGCGCAATAAAACCGCGCTCCGCCGCGTCGTTATTTAGAACTCATTAAAAACTTTAATGGGAAGTACAACCGCAGGTAGAACAAAACCTCGGGCTCTGGTTGTTTCGTATTTCAACGCAAACGGCATAAAGGGTCAAAGGGACGAAATCGCGGAATTCCTTCGCGATTATAACATAGATATTTTTCTAGTGCAAGAGACATTCTTAAAACCTAGTGTACGCGATCCCAGAATCGCAAACTACAACATAGTCCGCCACGACCGGTTAGCAAACCGTCTGGGAGGCACCTTAATTTATTACAAACGGTCCTTGCACTGTAGCCCGCTCGACATTCCAGAGCTAAGCCATATAGAGGCATCCGCGTGTAGGTTAGCGCTCACCGGCCATAGGCCTCTTGTTCTAGTCTCAGCCTACCTCTCGGGGAACAAAACCTTATTACAAAGCGACCTAGATACGCTACTTAACTTAGGCCCTTCCGTGATAATTGCAGATCTAAACTGCAAACACGGCTCATGGGACATCCACAGCATCCCAAATAACAACGGAAAGCATCTGTTTAGCTTATCCGATAATTTAAACTTTAGCATAATTGCTCCTGCGACTCCCACTAGGTATCCTACGGTGGACAACTACCAACACGCGACACCGAGTATCCTAGATATCATGTTACTCAAGGAGGTCTCGCTCGACATCGAGTCGATAGAGACAATCCATAAACTAGACTCAGATCACAGGCCCGTCCTGTGTAAACTGGGCCAGAACGCCGGCGCGGTCCCTCCGACCAAATCCGTAGTGGACTGGCATCGTCTTGAGGTCAAACTCAAGGCCTTGGACCCCCAGGACTTAGTCGACCTACCCGAGAAGATAGCTACGTTCGATGACGCAAATCGAGCGATAGCAAGTCTCCGAGAAACCATCACTTCCACAGTCGCAGACTCTGAACGGACGGTTAAACTGTCGGCGATCGACGGTTTAACTTTCCGCCCGACCTGCGACTCCTAATTAGGCAGAAAAATGCAGCCAAACGCGCTTTCGACCGATACCGATCGGAATCGAACCGAACCCTACTTCGACGCCTTCAAAAAAAGTCAAAGATCGAGTATCGGAACACCGACATACAACGTGGGACACTCTCCTAGAGGACATCGAGCCATCGCACACCGCCTACGGGCGGTTGGTCCGCAGTCTGAAAGCAGACCCCCGCGAATCTCTAGCGCCGTTAGTTAGACCTAATAGCGCTTCAGTAGCCCTAGATGACTCCGAAAAAGCCGAATGCCTTGCGGACAACCTAGAGCAGCAATGTACGCCATCGCGCGAACACATCGATACAGCCCAACTAACGGAGGTGGACCGCGTAATCGAGATTAGGGCTGCGCTTCCACCGGAAGGCGATCCTTTGAATTCAGTGACCCCCGAAGAGGTTCAAGATATTATAAAAACTTAAAACCCAAATCCGCCTCGGGCCCTGATAATATTAGTAACAAAATTCTTAAAGCTCTCCCTGGGCCGCTTATCTGTTTACTGGCGACTATTTACAATACTTTACTCTCCAGTTGCTCCTTTCCAGACGACTGGAAAGAAGCCAGGGTTATCGGCATTCGCAAGCCTAATAAACCAGCCAACCAGCCCTCTAGTTATCGTCCCATCAGGCCCTTAAGGCACAAATTATTATTATTTAAGACCTGCGTACGACCTATTATGTCTTACGCATGCATGACCTTCGCCCACACGCACCCTACTCGCTTGTACAAGTTGCAAATAGTACAAAATAAGTTCATCCGCCGCGCAACCGGTGCGCAGTGGTATCAACGCAACGTCGACCTGCACAGCGATTGCAGACTCCCGACGATTCGCGAATATTTTAAAGACCTGACCAAACGGTTCTTCGATAGAGCCGAACATCATCCCAACCCTATGGTGGTAAGCGCAGCAAATTACCAACCCGACCAAAACGCGAACGTCAACAAGCGTCGCCCGCGAAACGTCCTAATCGACCCGGTCGAGGAAGGGGACTTAGACACGCCGGACCCACTGCCGGGGGTCCCGCCGGACAACACTACACCCACAGTTAGTGCAACAACAAACACACTAGTTCGCCCTCGCCTCCGAGCACGGCGAGACCAACACAACGCGTACACAAGGTACACCCGCGTTCCGGGGCGGTTCTCACCGCCCCCAGCCACCGATTAGCTAATTGCACAGTCGACGGCCATCGGGGTTTCGGTCCGAACCACGACCTCGATGGCCCTTAGATGACGTACCATAGTTAAACGCACGCATGAGCACATGCGTGGCCCTACCCACAGCGGAGGGCCCAAACCCGTGGGTTCTGGCTAGCCCACCGGTTCTGCGTCAGATGAAGCTTTAATAGTCTCGGGACTGAAAGTAAAAACATCAGTTAATACAAGAAGATTATAGACTTTTAAGCACTATACGTAATGTTGGCCATATGGCCAGCAATTTTGCCAGCAGGTAAATTTAACAAGTATTAATTGTATACTCAAATTGGCTGTTCTCTTAGCTGTTTCTGTAGATCTTTCCCCTATGAAAATATATAAGTAAGAACGTTTTAACCTTATTTGTTTAAAATGTGATTTTTGTACCTAAACGAACATTAACTATCGGTTGAGAAAAATTACACAATAAAGTTCATTCTATAGACAAAATAATAATAACAACCATCATCATATTATACACAGTATCTGGACCTGGCTCACGAGGTGACCGAGATGTGGGATGGTGTGCCGACCGAAATTATCCTGATAGGGACTCCGGGACGGAACGCTCCAAGCTCAAATGCAGAAGGTGGTGTTCCTCGATACCGCCCGCATCGTCCGCCAGTTTCTCTCTCTTTCACCCTAACTCTCGGCCGTTTGGTCTCCTCTGCCGAGAGCTTCCGTCTGGTTGGGTCCTATTTATGTATGTATTATATATAAATATTTATATCTATTGGTTTATTTTTATTTATAAACCCAACCAGACGAGAAAACAAATAAATATCCCCAAAATCATCATCATCATCATCATTTCAGCCTGTTTGTGTACACTGCTGAACATAGGCCTCCCCCATAGACTGTTATGAAGTACAATCCTAAGCCACCTGCATCCATCGACTTCCCGCACTTTTGCACAGGTCGTCATCTACATTGGGCAGGCCCGTCTGGATTAGTACCACAACCTCACAGAAGACCGGCTAGAAGAAAGAAGTGTTGCACTTCGGCGATTCGTCTGGTAAGTGAGGTAGCCGGGGCCCACTTGATTAAAAGATGGCAACGCATATGTAACTCTACGGCAAAGAGTACTTTTATATATCTGAAAAAAAGACTACTTTTATATATCTGAAAAAAAGAGTACTTTTATATTCTGCTTTACGGGTATTGCAAATGTCCATGCGCAGGTGGTTATCACTTAACATCAGGTGTACCGCAGGCGCGTTTTCCAGTTTCTCACATAAAAAAAACTACGATGGCCAGTACGAGACTGCCACTCAAGAATCTTACTTCCCCTACGGTTATCGGTTCTACGAGCTTATTTTCGGTTAAAAAAATTAAAGTTATATCATCTCTATAAACCTTTAATCATGTACTGTATTTTTATTTCAATATAATATTTCATAACAGGGGATGGAATTTGAACGCCTTCACAAAATCCTATCACCGTACGTAATTGTCTATGGTTATTAAAATTTTTGTAGAAAAATATAATTTTTAACAAAAAAAAACCGACTTCAATCAGAAAATTAAACTACAAATATCCTAAAGATGGACCTCCGCAGACGACTACACTTCGCCTCACTTTTATTTGGAACTATTAGAAACAAAGAGCCGTTATATCTTTACAATAAGTTGATTTGGGCTAAAGATCAAAATGAGATGTATAATACGAGATCATCTAATTATAAATTAGTTTATCCTTTCTACCGTTCGGCCGCTTTTAGAGGCATTGCTGGAACAACCTCCCGCCTCCCTTGCGCGACCTGAAAACAATTAACTGGTATTAAAAACAAGTACAAATTGTATCTACTTGTAGAACAAAAAAATGCTGCCGTTTAATTCTAATTCTTATCAGCTTAATTATACGCTATAATATAATATAATAAAATACAATGTAATATGATTTGATACAATATAATTTAATATATATATATACATAATATTTTTTTTTATAAACATATATCATAATTTATATACTTATAAGACACTCATTTTGTTACCTTTATCATGTGGCCAGCGCGCAACGAGGTCTGTCTCGCATTTTACGTTTCAAATTAAGTCACGTGTCCACTGCTCGATCGGTAAATGTCACAGTGCCACAGAGTAGGGATAAATATTGGTAACCTAAACCCAAAATGGAAAAAAAGCAGCTGACACCAATATCAAATAAGAAAACATTAGTTCTAATTTTTACTTACCTCTTCAGACGAATGATATCCACTGTCTATATAATTTAAAGGTTCAAACAAAAATAATTTAATTATCGCTATACTGCGTTGTAGGTATGTATTACAAGTGCACTGACGTAGCCGTCCGAGTTGTCTCGAAGTGCGGGCGGACTGAAAACCGGCGTCGGGATCAGAACGAATCTTAGTTACTGTATCTCGACTTTTACCGAGTCCCGTCCGTTTCACGGTCTTATGCTGCTACACAGACCTTTCACTTATTATTATTATTATTTTTTTTAGTTTTTTTGTTATGTTTACATTTATTTTAAGTTATTCTAATATTATTTTACATAATGTGTAGTTACATTATTATTTTTAAGTGTTCTTTGTATCTATTGTGCTTAGACCGTGAATAAACGTTTCTTCTTCATCTTCTTCTTCTTCTACAATGTTAATACCTCTAACTTTCAATGATGGCACTCGATTTCTCTGGGATGCCATCATCAAATCCGGGTTTCTTTATCATGATACCACCCTTGGGATATCTCCTTTCCGAAAAAAAAAGAATCATCAAAATCGGTTCACTAACGACGAAGTTATCCACGAACACACAAAAAAAATATATATATACGGTCGAATTGAGAAACCTCCTCCTTTTTTGAAGTCGGTTAAAAAAGGACCGAAAAGTTTCTCGACGCTGTGGGAATCAAACCCACGTCTTCTAGATTCGCGCCCTGACGGTCTAACCACTAAGCTAATCGGCTAATTGCCCTACCGACGATATTCTCAACGCCTTTTTATCTACACTGTATTTTAGCATTTGAAGCAAATTTGTCCATGGCTACGAAATCGTAGGATTGATAAAAATTATATCAGAACTAAATTACTACGATGCCTCAATAGTATCAACTCAATTTAAATACCACATAATCGATACTGAATGAATGAATGATAGGTATTATTGCATTGATAGGTAATATATTTTTTCTTTTATGTCAAACCCAAAACCTGAAAGTTACCTTACCAAGTTCGTACGTCTAACACCCTTGATTTTTTTGTTACTGTAAGTATACCTGAATTATCCCGTGAGGAGTTGCCAGATCTCCCATCGGGCGCGTCCCCAGGTGGCGGATAGGGGAATGCCACCCAGATATGGGTGGTAGCGGAAAACCGTCGTGGACCAAAACTGGCTGGGTTTGGGGCGTACCCTCGAATCTTTAAAGATTCGAGAAACGGCCAAGAGGGAATCCTGAGGAGGATTGCCTTCGAGGTGGGCCTTCGAGGCTCTATGTCACTCCATGTTTCTTTACTTTGCAAAGAACAGCGGACGTGACAAGTGCGGTGATATGCTACGTCCATTTCGGTTATTACCGACGCCGCATCACCCGTAAACCTTCGGGAGCGGGGGCCATGAATGGCCATGAGGAAGGCAACCTCTATAAAAAATCCCATAACCCTAAGGTCGAGCGTGCCGATGGGGTGAATCGCTGGTGGTATTCCAGTGCCAAGCGCTCAGGGGGAAGGGGGGGAAATTCAGGGACCAAACCCTTGTAAAAAAGGAAACATGGAAACAGTGGGTAACATACTAATACCCCAGGGTGGTACCGGCAATGCCGGAGAATCCACCCCTAGGCCTAGCCTAGGCAGCCCCATCGTATCTGGGGGGGGCAACACACTGTTTTGCGGCGATACATCTACATCGTCCGCGGGTCGCCTAACATCCAGGGACCAACTTAGTAAGGAGGAAGCCGTGCTGGGAGATCCCATTAACTCGGCACGATACTCAAGGGGAAGACGTGGAAGACGGGGGCGATTAGCTCAATCTGGAGAATTAAAAGAAGCTGAGTCTGATGGTTCACAGCTGTCACTCGCATCGGTTGCTTCGGAGGATACGCGAAAAAGAAAGGCAAAGGCTCCGAGTATTAAATCGGTGGCCGCTAAATACAAGGCAGTAGCAGCCTCTGCCTCGGCAACTCCTACTGAAGTGGAGGATATGGCCACTGAGATTGATACGGAAGAGGACTTTGCCGACCTCTCAGTGGTATCATCCAAGTCCAGGGCCAAATCAACTTTGCCTAGTACAGAGGAGTTTGCGTTAGAACTGCGATCTCAGGCAGGCAGAAAAGTTGAAGAACACATAGACCGTCAACTTCAAGCCATTGAGGAGGTAGCAAACCGATCCCGCAATTTAAAGGGAAGCTACGTTCAGAGCCTAAGGTTAGCCGTGCGGAATGTAAAAGCCGCGGCTAATGAGCTGGCCCGGAGGTCCGCCGCTGACGAAAATATCGCAAGACTAGAGAGAGAAAATGCTGAACTTCGTTCAGCGCTTTCTAGCCTTAGCAACAGGGCGGATAAAATGACGGAGGAAATTAATTACCTTCGTAAACAAACACATGAAAGAGTCAATGTCTCTAAGTCATCTGCTCAATCAACCGCAGATGCTCCAATGCCCATTAGCGGAGAGGAGGCACTAATGGAACGCATTGGAGCGTTTATTGAGAGTAAATTGGCGGCTCTCGAATCTCGGTTGTTATCGAATAAGGCGCTACGCCCACCACTGGGAGTGAAGTCCATGACGGTTGTCACTGAGCAATTAACAACGCCGATGCAGTCGCTTTCAGCCGATGCACGATCGCAAAAGAAGAAAAATAAAAAGAAGGCGAGGAAACGGCAGAAGCCGACATATCCACCTGTGGCAGATCTACCTGCTGTAGCGAAGCCTGTGCTGCAAACTTCTGCGTCTACAGGAACAAGGTCTTGGGCGGACGTGGCTAAAAGACCAAAAGTACACCAGACGACACAAAAGTCGCCGATGAACTATGTGTCCAACGAACAGTCCACGAAGATGAAAAGGAAACCTGTCCGTGCCCCAACATCTGCGGCTGTAACAATTACTTTACGAGAGGGTTCCACCGCTACCTACGGCAGCATAATGAAGGACGCCAAAGCGAAAATTCAGCTAGAGGAACTCGGAATCGAGGTTATCCGACAAAAGCGTGCCATTACAGGGGGAATCCTAATGGAGATCGGCGGAACTGACTGTGGCCCGAAAGCGGAAAGCTGGCGGCTAAGCTGCGTGAGATCCTGTCAGAGTCGAACGTCCGTATCAATCGCCCGGTAAAAACGGGCGACGTCCGGTTTAGAGACCTCGATGACTCTGTTGGTCCTTCAGAACTAACAGCAGCGATCGTGGAGGCAAGTGGTTGTTCGGCTGACGATGTCAAAGTTGGCGAGGTTCGTCGATCACCCATCAGCATGGGAACCTGCTGGGTACGATGTCCTATTACGGCGGTCCGTAAGCTAGCAGCAGCCAGACGTTTACGTGTGGGGTGGGGATTTGCTCGAGTGGAATTATTGGAGCCCAGGCCCTTGCACTGCTACAGGTGCCTTGAGAAAGGTCATGTTGGAAGCCGTTGTCCCAATAATGTTGATCGTAGCAATCGCTGTTACGCCTGCAGTGAGCCTGGTCATACAGTTAAGAATTGTTCCGCTTCAGTTCTAAAATGCCCACTTTGTTCAGACTTAGGACGCCCGTCTGGACACCGATTGGGTAGGAAGTGCGCCCTGCCGCTCAAAAAGAGCAGTAGAAAAGGTATGCGTGGGGAAACTGCTCTCAACGTTTCCAACATTATGGCGACCACAGTTGCAGTACCGAGTCAAATCTCGGTGATGGAGGTAACCGACTCTTAAACCACCACGAACATCCTAAAAGTCCTCCAGGGTAACTTAAACCACTGCCGTAATGCACAAAATCTGCTTATGCAGACAATTACGGAGTGGAGGGTTGCCCTAGCAGTTATAGCGGAACCCTACGTTGTGCCTGATGATCCCCGCTGGTTCGGCGATGACTCGGGCTCCGTAGCCATTTATTGGGAAGTAAGGGAGGATGCCCCACCCTGCACCCTATTAAGAAGGGGGCGGGGATTCGTTGCAGTGCAGTGGGGAACCCTGGTCATCATCGGATGCTATGTCTCTCCCAATGGGTTACTCGCTGACTACCAGATGTATCTGGATGAGGTAGCTGACTGTGTCCGCAGTTGCCCGCCTCACCCGTTAATTGTTCTGGGGGATTTTAATGCCCACGCTAGAGAGTGGGGAAACCCCAGAAACAATTCGAGAGGGGAGGCCCTAAAAGAGTGGGCGGCTAGGGCTGGACCTCCGACTATTGAATCGGGGGTCCGTCAGTACCTGTGTACGGTGGCAAGGAGAGTCGGTCGTCGACCTAACATGGGCGTCTCCTTCTGCGACACAAATGGTATCGGGATGGCGGGTTGCAGTGGACATGGTCACATTATCTGACCACCGCCACATCGTTTTCGACATCGCTCCCCGCCGCCTTAGTAGTCGCCGTGATTGCAGCCCACCTCGTCGTTGGTGCCTCAAGCGACTAAATCGGGACCTACTGGAAGCTGCCGCCAACATTGCGGCATGGCCAAAAGTCACCGAAGGAGTTTCGTCCAATCCAGAAAGGGAAGCAACCTGGTTGCGGGGCACGATGACTCAACTTTGTGACATGTCTATGCCTCGGACCAGAAGCCCCAAACGTAGGGCGGTGTACTGGTGGTCGGCGGAAATCTCGCGACTACGTGCCGTCTGTCTGCGGAGCAGACGCCAATACACCAGAGCCCGAAGAAGAAGGCGAGCAACGGCCGAGGAGACAACTAGTCTCTACATGGCTTACCGAGCGGCCACCAAGGCATTGCATATCGCAATCGCAAATGCTAAGACTCGATCCTGGGTAGAGCTTTTGGAGGGACTCAACACAGATCCATGGGGACGTCCTTATAGAATGGTGTTGGGTAAGCTTAGGCCCTGGATGCCTCCTCTGACGGAATCGTTAGACCCTAACCTACTGGGACGAGTGATCAACACGCTATTCCCAACAGTTCGATCAGGTCCCTCAGGCTCTCCCCTACTTTTGTGGGATTGGCAAGATGACATGGGAGTGACTGTTCAAGAACTAGATCAAGCTGTTGGCCGCTTAAGAGCTCGGAACAATGCGCCAGGACCTGATGGAATACCAGGTCGGGTCTGGGTGCTGAGTTTAACTGTACTGGAGGACAGGGTGAGGCAATTATTTGATAGTTGCCTCCGTAGTTCCACGTTTCCTACAGCTTGGAAAGTTTCAAGATTGGTCCTCTTGAAGAAAGAAGGCAGGGCAGCAGAATCTCCCTCTGCGTACCGTCCGATATGCCTGTTGGACGAGATTGGCAAGTTGTTTGAGAGAATTCTTGCTGCTCGTCTTAATAGGCATCTATCGCGTGTCGGTCCCGATCTATCTGAAAGCCAGTTTGGTTTCCGAAAGGGGCGTTCTACGATAGACGCGATCATGCGCGTCCGCTCCTTGTCGGATCAGGCAGTTTTCCAGGGTGGTGTGGCATTGGCGATAAGTCTAGACATCGTCAATGCCTTTAATTCTCTACCCTGGCATGCCATCATGGGGGGGCTTTCTTACCATCAAGTGCCCCCTTATCTCCAAGGCGTTATCGCAGACTACTTGCACGATAGGTACATCTTATATAGGGACAAAGACGGCAACAAGATCCGGAGGGGAGATTCATTGCGGAGTTCCACAGGGGTCTGTCCTCGGTCCTTTACTGTGGAACGTCGCGTATGATGCCGTCCTGCGTGTCAATCTCCCCCACTAATGTGAGCATTATTTGTTACGCGGATGACACATTAATAGTCGCATACGGGGACACCTTTGAGAGGACCAAAGAGCTCGCCGAGCTTGGGGTTGAAATCGTCGTCACCAAAATTCACGATTTAGGACTAGAAGTAGCGCCACATAAGACCGAGGCGATGTGGTTCCATAAGATGCCAAGAGGCAGGGAACCACCTAACTCATGTGTCCGTGTGGGTGGGTCTGAAATAAGGGTAGGTCGGTACATGAAGTACCTGGGCCTAATCCTTGATAGTCGCTGGGGCTTCGAAGAACACTTCGAGCGCCTAGTCCCCCGGATCGAGCGGGTAGCGAGTGCAATGCACAGACTGCTACCTAATCTTGGGGGACCAAGAGATGAAGTTCGCCGCCTCTATGCTGGAGTCGTGCGATCCGTAGCCTTATATGGGGCACCTGTGTGGTCAAAAAGACTCGCCATCAGACGTTGCAGGTCTAAGATCTACAGTGTCCAGAGGCGGATGGCTATACGGATCGTGCGAGGGTACAGAACTATATCCTTTGAGGCGGCAACTGTCCTGGCTCGCTTTCCTCCTCTGGACATACTGGCGGAAATGGACGCGAGGGTGTACTACCGAATCCGTGCCCTCCGACAGAGTAGTAGTAGCGAGCCAGAACAGGCGCTCGAGTCCATCAAACGACAGGAACGGCATTCCGCTTTCTTGGTCTGGCACGCTCGGCTCAGCCAAGAACAGTACGTACATAAACGCGTGGTGGAAGCTTTCCTGCCAGTCTTCGAAGCCTGGATGCAGCGACGCGAAGGCAGGCTTACCTACAGACTTACACAGATAATCACTGGGCATGGATGTTTTGGTGATTATCTGTGTAAAATCGGACGTGAGGCGACGGCGAATTGTTTCCACTGCGATGGAAGCTACCAGGATTCCGCAACGCATACCCTGGCGGTATGCCCAGCATGGGAGACGGAGCGGAGTATCCTGGTAAGCTACATTGGAGGAAACCTCTCTTTACCAGCAGTCGTATCGGCGATGCTGAATCGAGAAGTAGCATGGAGAGCCGTAACCTCCTTCTGCGAGACCGTAATGGTCAAGAAGGAGGCTGCTGAGAGGGACCGAGAACGGACTGATCCCTCTCGGAGACGGGGTCACCGAAACGAGGTTACACCACGTTACGGTCCTCCAAATGTAAATAGTATTCCCGTACCGGAATCGGGGCCTCAGGGATCGCGGGTGACTGGCCCTCTATAGGTCAGTACAGCGAACCTAAGAACGACAATGGCTTAAGTAGGTTTAAGCTATAGTGGTTGTACCGCAGGGGTGGGCGAAGTTATGTTACCGGGTAGAGGCTATTCAAGCCAAGCCAAGGGTGGCCGCGGTAGTGTTCCAAACGGAGATCCCGTGACCCCCCATGAAAGCTGATGGCGTCCACCGTGGGGTTTTAGTCGGTGTGAGTCCGACATAATCTGGTTTCCCCTATGTGGGAGGCCGGGTATCCATAACGGATTTCCCCACAAAAAAAAAAAAAAAAAAAAAAAAAAAAGTATACCTGAATTATACTTTTTTTTCATTTATCATAATTTTATTTGCTGTTATAGTTTAAATTAATATCTTCTATATATGAGTGGATTGCTGTTGCTCTAGAGTTATCACAATTCCGCCAATATCAAGTTACCCATTACACGTAGAGGAATGGCCGATGTCCTTTAGAAAACTACTAAAATAAAATAACAAACAATAGCAACACTAACGTTGTTTTTGTGTCAGCTGTCAATCTGTTAAATTCTGTTAGTGTTATAAATTATCATATTTAAAACCGAAAATTGAGTCGCATTAAATATATTTAATTAACCATAAAGAAATAGAAAAAAAACAAGTATGGATTAAGTTAATAATAATATAACCTTATTTTCTTTTACGAAATAAGAAGAGGACATTATTATAATTTTCAAGTTCGCCCATGATGTTCAGTAATAGGTTATTTCCAATATTAAGAGTGATGCGACGACTTCAGGGCAAGGTTTCTGTTGCTAAGGCTAGAATTTTTACTCCAGTTACCCTAGGTGTTCTTACAGCTGTTTGCAAAGAAAAAGCGGAAGACTTTAATGTTGGAGTATATGATGGCAGCCTGGAACATGAATTTCTTATTCGTCAAGCAACAACTGTTAATGTTAATGCGGCAACTCAACTTCTTACAGTAACATTAATTGCCATACAAGATACAAGTGAAAGGTGAAGATTTTAAATTGTATGTTATTTTTTTCGACGATCCAACTAATAGTGATTATGACTAAAAAATAACATCTAGAATAGCATATTGGCACTCCAAACTTGCAGAGTAAATTCAAATAAGTAATCTTATCTTGTCCTTTGGTTTGCTTACCAAAAAGTTTATCTGGTTTTTTTTAATTAACATTTTCACTTTACATTAAACAATTTTAGATTAAGGGATGCATTAACAAAAGAGATTTGTCTAGTGCAGCAAGCTATGGAATGGGGGGAGGGCACACCACCAGACCACTGGGATCAACTAATAGCTGTTAGAGGCTCACTCTGCGACTTGAGACACAATCTAAGAACCCTTTTTAGTAAGTTTTTCTTTTATATCTAATTTTCATAATCTTTGTAATGTAATAGAAATACATATTGCAATGAAATTTTTATATCTCCTTAACAAGAATGTGCATGCATTTAATAAATGAAATTTCTCATAATGTAAGCCAAGGTTTGATAGCTTATTGTCTAGGCACTCACTTTTAATTCAAAGTGGTGAAGGAAAACATTGTGTGCATATTTGTAAATAACAAAAAAATTGAATGAAAAAAATGTTTCATTTTTAAAACAAACCTAAGAATTTATATATATTTTGTATTAAAATTAACTGTAAATTTGTTTTTAATCAAATAAATAGATCTCTTTTTCTTGCCATTCGATGCATTTCTTCCATTCGCCATTGATACTTCCCCATACTCTTAAGTAACTGATTATTCATTTTTTAACCTTTTTTTATTTGCTTCTTCTTGAGAGGTGTAACAAAACCATTGATGCATTCTATATTGTTATTTTGAAATTCCCCATGCTACATAATGAATATGTTCCAGTTTATAAAATAAAGTGCGACAGTTGAATTAGCAAGCAAAATATAGTACGAAATTTACTAACATTTCATACTATATTTTTTTTAATATTTTTATAGTACAATAAAATTTATGGCACAATTTGTTTACTTCGTAATTTTTTTTTTTATATTGCCCTCACTTTAGAATAACATTATCCTGTGTTGTCAGGACGTTTACCAAACATAAATTGCATGAGGACCAACACCCAGATGCGAAAAAACCTGTGGATCGCACAAATAGTTGACCCGTGTGGGAATCGAACCCACGACCCCTGACACCGAAGCCAATACCTTGGCATCTGCGCCACGGAGTCATCAATAGTAAATATGTACTACATAATATAATACTACTAATATGTTCACATAATATAACTCTAGCCTAAAACTAAAAACCCTAAAAAAATATATAATATATAAATTAATAACTAAAATATATTATTAAAAGGAGTCCCTTTAGGCAAGGTTCCGAAGATACTGACAGCGTTCCCCCTTTGAATAGCTAGACTAATTCTTTGTCAGAGGTAGCTGCCAACTCTCTGATCTCCTGTGACGTTGGCTAACCTTTTTGCTATTTCCTTAAAAAGCCTTATAGCGCTATGACCCCACGGACCAAAGGTTTCGGCACTGAATGGGACAAAATCATATTCGGAGCCTAGAGCTCTATATTTGCAAGCTTTAGCTTATTCAGCCACTTTAAAAGCCGCACCAGCTCTGTTGTTGGTTCCATGGAATCAAATTCATACTGTCCGGTCTCTTGCAATACCAGTCGGCTCAAGTAGACTTGGCACATTGACACTGGCAAGGGACCGGCGTATGATATTGTTAAGTGCGGCATATCTTGAGAAGCGGCCTGTACTTTTTTAGCATGACAGTCCGTGATGTTCTAGCTTGTAGACCCCACTGGCACAGGGACATTTATGAGGAGCGCAGACCAGAACCCCAAGCTGTAGACAGGATGCCATTCCGAGCGTCTCAGGCTCAAGAAATGTATTTGACGAAGGGTACGCGTGAAGCCAGTAGCCAGCCTCATGAGCACCCACGGCCAAGCTTAGCACGCGCTGAACCTGTACTACAGCTCAAAAGATTGTCAATCTGCAGTTTATGTCGTCCCAGCTCCTCTGTGAATTTGGAGAAATTGGAACATTTTGACTTGGGCATGCAATTAAGAAAGCCTTTCTAGATTCTTCAAGCCAGCAATCTCAAAGTTTGTAGGGGATGCTCTTAAAATTTTACTTATGAGATTTGCTGAACTATGGACAGAAGATAGGAAGGCTGGTTAAGCGACACTGGAAATTTTGCGAATCCCTAAACCTGTATAACAGATGGGTAGGGATGCTTGGGTCCAAGATTGCTCGTTAAGCTGCATATTAAAAATCAATTCTAAGCTAACTTTGATTAAGTCATCTACTTGTGTCAAAAGATCTGGGTGATTCCAAAAGGAGCAGCAATGGAGCACATACGTAAATTTTGGAACGAAAAGATAGAATTTTAAAATGCAAAGTGCATAATGTGGACTCGTTTCAAGGAGACGGTCAGCAGAATTTTGAAATTTACTAATTGAATTATTAATATATTCAGAAATAGATTCATCAAAGAACCTAAAAGGTAAAGGGAATTACTGTTAACTACTTTAATATTTGGAGCCAAAATATAAAATTTTTGTTTTACGTCATTTAAATTTAAGTCGCAGTTATTTATAGAGATTGCATTTGCTAAAATTAAGCTCCAAACCAATGGCTTCAATTTATTTTTGATTAAAAAAAACCGAAAACATAGTATCCATATCACCTACTAGGGATCCGTCGTCCAAATACCAAACGTTGAATTTAGAATTTAAATTTTTGAGTATCGGATTTATAGCCCAACTTAATAATTGCAGGCCCAAGGGGATCACCCTGTTGACAACCTACTTCCGAGGATAGTTCATTAGAACGATATAACAATTTTGTTGGGTCAGCGTAACTGAGAAGAGAGTTGTATATTTCCCGTACATGTTGTTTTATTTCCGTCAGCAGGGTATCCCTATTAACCGAAATGAATGAATTTTTCACATCAATTTTGAGCAAAACGTCAGGCTGTCCGTAAGTTAAGAAAGATACATTCTTTCATTGGCATGGACGGCTGTCTCGCACCCTTCTACAACCAAAGCCTAACTAACTGTACAGGTTCAAATTTTGAATTTAATTTTGGTAAAATATGGTAAAATAAATAAATAAATATAGTAAATTTGGTAAACTATATTGACTAAAATGTAGTATTTTACTATATACATATATAAAAAATAATCCCTATTTCCCTTAGCCACGCGTGAACGGCTGGACCGATTTCACTTTCTTTTTTTTTGTTGTGTTTGTTATTATCAGGAGGTTCTTACAGAAGAAAAAATTAAAAATATTGCCTGAAAAAGTCTAAAAACTTTTCTATATTCCCGTACAAGATTAGTAATGATACTTAAGTCAATTTGAACTTTAATACCATACCATAAAGTTTAAGTGTTAGCAGAGGGGTTCCGGGAAGGCAAAACAAGTGAGTGACTGTGGTAAAAATCACTTGAAATGTAAACGTCTCTTTGCTGTGCATAAAATAAAGTCGTCCCGCTGTCTCTCTCTCCCTATGTATGCTTAGATCTTTAAAACTACACACGGATCTTGATGCGTATTTTTTTACTAGATAGAGTTATAGAAGTTCATATGTATAATACATTGCACCCGTGCGAAGCTGGCGAGGGTCGCTAATATTATATAACCATATGAGAATACTTGCTGAATTGTGTTAAATTCATTATAATTATTTCATTTTCTAAGGTTACATGGATTACGCTGAAAAGTTAGCAACAGCTGCTGCTGAAATTTCTTACCTTTCAGGGAATGTTGCAGCGTCTGATGCTATCTGTGAAAGAATTGACCATGTTTCCAGGTAATAGAAAACTATTTTTAAGAAAAAAATCTTTAATAAAGCATATTATACACTTTTATATAATATTATTTTTAATTAATTTGCTTATTTCATAGTTTTATAAAATAAGGATGACTAAATAGTCTTGACAAATTTTATTTTTAATGGGGGCAATGAAAAACTGAAAAGTTCTAAAATGAACTGTTGCAGTATTAAAAGCTATTAAATGAAATGTATGTGCAAATGATGAAACAAATAATAGCCAATTTAAAGAAAGCTTTCTTAAAATTATTTATGAAAAACAGACATTAACCCTATAACATTTTAGAAATTTCTCTTAACAAACTTATGACTAGGGTTTTAAACAATGTTATAATCATCCCCACTTTGTATGCATTATCATAATACAATAGTTGTAATTCAGAAAGTCATCTACCTCCTGAAAATTTTATAACATTTAGTTTGAAGTTTATTTACAAACTTTATATTACTTTTATAAATTGTTCATTACTAATAAAAATATATCCCAGTTAAAAGTCTGTGATGACTATAAAATGCTTAGAATTTTTTTGTTTTAGATAACTGTACTTTTTTTTTAATTTACTCATTAAATCCATTTTCTCATGTTCTATAATGACAAGCTTGACCACTGATCAAACTTAGTCAAACTAGATATTGCATTTGATACTTATGTCAATGTTACTAGGACTAACATCCTTTAATACACTTTAAATTTTTGCAGTTGGAGATAAACTAAACAAAAAACATTTTGAGCACTGCATAGAACATACTAAGTTTTAAATAAATACAGGTCCTTTGTTTACAGCAGTCTAATTAATCCACAGAACTTGCAACACTCAAAAACAGTTGAATCATGTGCTTCAACAAGAAAGCTTAGAATTACAGCAGAGGGCAATCATAACTTCACCTGAACTTGAAGAAAAACTTAAATCTGATGAAAAGCCTATTGAAAAAACACCTGACACTGAAAAATTATAACGCTATGCTGAAATTTATTAAATTTACTTTATGCGAATAACATCAAAACAGTTAATTTAAAAATGTATATCAGAAACAACTGTATTAATATTATATTAAATTTGAGTTGCGCATTATATACAGAGGAAGTTTTCATCAAATGTTTAACTCTTGCATTTAAGTCAACACCATAATTATCAATAGTACAACAATATTTTATTTAATACTTTATTTAGAACATACATACATTTAACAGTTACTGAAAATATGCCAAAAGAACATTACGAATAATTAGATGTTATAAACAAAATTAGAAAATTAGCATAGGCTATATGCAGTTATAATTATATGAGAAATATAGAACTGAGACTTAAATACGCAAATTATTTTATTTAACATTTTTATACCAACGAAGACAACTCAGCCATATTAATACAAATAATTTTACTGCCTAAAATTTATAGTCTAAAGCCTATTTATGCCCATAAGAGATTTCCAATTTTTTTTATGTACGCGCCAATAACATGGCCGCAGATACGTTTGTGCGATGTCGGTTACAAATATGTTTTTATAACAACACTAATAGTTGTTGTGGTTAGGGCAAATTGGATTTAACAATGGAAGTTGATAATTTTTTTTAACAAAAATTAAATTGTTACTGTTTAAAAAATTCATCAATGTATGTCCAACAAATCAGAATGGTAGGAGAGGTTTTGTGGATGGTTGCTGTGGTGTTAGACTTCTATAACATCTTGAAAGGAAGTTAATGTTTCAACGTTTTTTTGTTTGCTAACAGGCATTGTAGTTTCATACTAAGTACAACACCTGATACTAGAGGATATTTCCTTAGAAATTTGCGTCCTTGTTTAGGTGTGTTTCAATGTCAACACGACAGATTGGGCAATGCTTGTTGGTGCTGAGCCACTGGTCGACACACTCCATGTGGAATAGGTGCATGCATGGCAACCGCCTGTAAGAAATTTTAGAAAAATTAAGAGTCAATAGTCCCACCATATTAATAATACCTCTTCTTTTATGAGAAATAATAAAATATATAAATTCGTAATTGCAAAGGCCATGTCCTCTATGTGAGAGAGGTCTATGTTTAATCTTGTTATACATACTTCCTAACCCTGTTTTCTATATTATAATGTAAGTAAATAATTCTAAAGTAGTTAATAAAATGAATTACTATTTGCCTGTAATATTTGTATTTTTTACACTTATATAAATGGTACCCAATGAGGAAAAATTGGCGGCCTTCACATATCTTCGTTTTTCTTTTTGTTATTATTGTGATAGTATTCAGGTTTCCTCACAATGTTTTCCTTCACCATTGTGTTAATACTCTGGTTACTAAGTGTGTAGATAATCTATAACCTACATGGGTTGGGTCCGTAAGGTAACTTGGTGCTCATTTTGCAGAAATCTGACATCTATAATTTGTTACTTGATTAAAGGTGTTGAGACTACCAAATTTTTATGGAGAGAATAAATTATGGTGTTCAAAGTATGGGGCCTTACCTGATGTTCACTAATAGTTCTAGTATTTTGCATGAATAATAGATACATTCAAAAAACTAGAACTATAGTTCTCTACTTCATGAATAAGCTGGTGTGACCAGGGTCCAGAAGTTACACACACCTAAGGACATATCCAGTGGCTTTGGTGTTTCACGTGTAAATCTGCAGTGGTGTTTCACCATCAGATGACTCACTCTTTTGCATTTATTTAACATATAAAATTGTCTCAACAGGAACATTATCACAGATTTGAGATGTAATAAGGGTCATCATCCAATAAAAATGGAAAAGAGTTTAAACAAGGGTTAGTGATACACAGGGCAGGTAGATCATTCAATAAATATTAAATAAAGCTTATAGAATGGTGGGTAACAGAGAGGGGATACATCATCCAATAGAGTTCGTGAGATATATAAATATAATTATACAGGGAGGCTTTGCAAGTGTATCCATTTTTTAAAATTAAGTTCTAGACAAATAAAAAGTGTTATATGAAAAATGATAAATATTTAAAATCACTCATTATTAATTAAATTAATAAACATTTCACCTTTGAACTTATCTCAAAAAGTGCGTGACTTATGGGCAACTCATTTATTTTACACATGATCATTTATGACTAACACGAACACAAGTTCATTTCAAAAGTATACGACGCATTTATGAATGACTACCGCATTGTCCACAAGTTCTGTTTTTTAGGGAATGGAATGGCAATTTTTTTTGAAAAAAAAGTTTGTGTTTATTTCAATAACCGATTATACTACCAAGTCTGAACCTCCTGTGTGAATTTGGGCACCTTTAAAAAAAGTCAACCTGTATAATCATATTTATACAGCATGTCTTTACCACCGCGACAATAAATGAAGACACGTCTAACGCGTGATGCGCGTCATCTTTATGATTATTGGCTACTTGCCAATAATCATAAAAATGTTAACGTTAAAAAAATCCATTAAAAAAATATTTTTCAAACAAACTATAGGATAGGATTTTACAATTTTTGTAACATCATATCATTACAAATACATCTGACTGATTCATACATTCAGATACTTTTTCATTCGTTGCCACAGTGCCGCATTACAAGCCTCTCCTTCTAACAGTATGTTTTGTCTCTTTTAAATTCATTCAACCCATTCATATTATGCTTTGTGACCTTTACAATAGACTTTACATTTAAGTTTTATACGTAAGGATGTTCTAAAATTCTTTATTTTGTAAAATTTGATAACTCGTTAAATATTGATATTTAAAGAATGTAAATCTTTAATACAATTTTAAAAAGATATCCTCTATATGTATGTTTATTTATTGTCGCGATGGTAAAGACACGCTGTATACTCGCGAATATACGAAATTATGTTCACACTACTTTTCTATTATTTTATTTGTTTAAAGAATACAAAAATATATATGGTTCAATTGAGAAACCTCCTCCTTTTTGAAGTCGGTTAAATAATATACAACCAAAGGCTCCTAACCTTTTATGGGCTACTACCCCCTTTAAAGCAAAAAATATCCAGGTTTTTTATGTTATATTATCTATTAAAAATATATTATCTATTAAAATCACAAATTAAAAATTTATTCTCTCTCTCTCTCTCCATTGTGCTCGTGCGCTCCAGCGCTTACTAGGGGGAGGTACCAACCCCATTTGGAACCTATGCACTATACCCTATTTGCATATTAAGTAGGTAGAAGAGCAGTTGGGATATCTGCAGTCAGACTCGACCTTGAATATCGGGAGGTCTTTTTGCCTTTAACGGTCGGTTTCAATATTCTATCTACAGATAAATTTGATTACTGGCGATAGATATTTGGCATTGGCTCCCCAATACTTGCATTAAAAAAGGCTAAAATAAGACTACAATACCTGTACCATATGTTATATTGAAAACTGATATTTTTGAAAAAGAGCAACTGTTGAGTTTCTTGCCGGTCTCTTCTCAACAGAAACTACCCTCCGAAATGGTACCTTACGAACTTTATGCAAAATTAGACATTTCAAAAGAACGCGTCTAATGCAATAAAGATATTTCGAATTTTGAAAATTCCATCCGAAGCAACCAAATGTATCCGTAGACAGAATATTGAAACCGGCCGGAAGCAGAGACAGAAGTGCGGCGGCACGGTGGGTACCTGCAGTCGGACTCGACCTCGAATATCGAGAGGCAGATGGTGCACTTCTCGTCCTGGTGGTGGGGCGCGGGGCGGGCGTACGCGTGCCGGTACGTGTTGCGCTCGATGACGGCGCGCGACGCGCCGCGCGACGAGCGGCGCGCCTCCGACGCGGACGCGGCGCGCACCATCGCCGCCATGTGCGCCGCCAGCGAGAGCGACGGGCCCTTTCATTGGGGTTTCGAAAAGATATCTTTGATAAGATAAGATTACTTTGTTGAGACACGTCGATATGTTTAGCCGATATATTTTGATCCGATAAAAAAACCGATATTTTTTCAAATTCGAATCCGGCACAGAGTTCGTAGATTCAAATATTTAATACTTGACATACGTGTTTTGTGGTGTTTAAATTGTTGTTATATGATAGTTAAGTGGACTGATTTTCGACACACGCAATTATCCTAAGTTTTTTTTATATAGTTCACATAGTTACATTTCTACTCACCATAACAGATGGCTGGATTGATATATGCAGGTGAGATGGATTCATCTGAAGGTGATGGTGCATATGATGGTGGACATTCTGGCCATCTCTGTAATGGAACAAAAATAATATATTATGGTTCTCATCATCCATGTGCCTCTCCAATTGTAAAGGCTGTCCAGCACTGATTGTACATGATAGATTTCAAGAAAATTGAAGAGATTTGCCGAATTTTCACATTTGATCAAATAACTTCGCAAGAGGGAAACTCATAATGTGTTTATTTATGTGTGCATTTTTGATCAACCAATCTTATATTTATGTAATTACACATACTTATTAAAAGGAACATCTAAAGTTTAATTGTTGTAAAAATGTAATTAACTTCAATACAGGCTATTTTACATGAAAGCATTATGCTGCAATGATAACAAGTTAACAAGTTACTAATTACTTACAGCATCATAGGCATTTGTCCTCCATCATTTTGTTCAAAGTGATCTGGAAACTGAAATATTAACAAACAAATTAGCTTTTTATTGGACAGAGTGATACATATTAAGAATAGGTCAATAGAGATTTAGTACCCTAATAGAGCCCTTTATTTATTTTTTCCAACATTGCAACATATTTGCTTATACCCCTTTCATAAAACAGACTTCTATATACTCTAGAGAAGACAATGAAAAATTCTACAGCTATTCTCTTTTATTCCGGCACAGTTAGAAATAAACACTGATTAATTACTTAACATACAATTTTGCCACTTACAGATAGATATGTTGTGGGTCGTGGTGAAGCTGCATAAGCGGGTGGATATTGATTCAGTCCAGGTCCCAAACCCCCTACCATTTCGCCCATCATACTTCGCCTTTGTACTTCCTAGAAATTGTATGGCCTATTATTCACCACATGATAACTGTATTTTATAACCAAAACACCAAAAGGTTTCTAAAAGATGACTACATTTTAAAATGTTTCATTTTAACAAATTCAAATTTAATCAATTTGAATCTTAACAGTGATATATATTAAGTTTATAGATATGTTTATAGATCTGTTATATTAACTATAAAGTAACGAAAACAAACAATTTAAAGTAGTGTCCTTTAGAGAAAACTTTTTTGAGAAGAAATGAATTTTAGAAAAATTTTACGCAAAATAGGTAAAAAAACAGATTCTTATATTTACTACAGAAGCTATTATAGTCGAAATTACCAGCATGTGTTGCTGACGCTGCCATAAACGTTCATGAACCAGGTATGGGGGCGGTATAGGTACTGCATTGCGACGTCGATCTCCTACTGAAAGTAAATTTTTATTAAGTAGATGGCTAATAAAAAAATGAAAGTAGAGGAGTTTCAAATCATCCTCGGAATAGGTCTTAAAATTTTGGATTAAATGTTTTAAATTAAATGTGGGGTTTAATTTGAATTTCATCAAGTTACCATGTAGTTTAATTTAATTTCATAAAGTTACCATGAATGCTTAAAACCATCAAATCATAATGGAGAAAAACTTTTTTCAGTTCTGATATTTCACAATTTAACTAGCCATGCTTCACTAGTTCGCGTTAGAATCTTAAAAATATACAAAAAACACTACTGTTGAATAGCTATTAAAAAGGTACGAAAACTTTTTCGCGTGACACTTTAAGCTACTACGCCACTAAGCTAAACGGCTGATTGCTTTAAGCTAGCGATATATCTTGTAGGTTGCAGTGGTTGTTAGGATTTACTGCCTAACCTCTTCCACACATAATACTTCCCCTTTCATTTCCCCCTGCTCTCACTACATCAGCCCCAGGGGGTCACGAATTTGATTCCCACATGAAAAAACTATTTGTGTTAGAAATTTAAAGTTTTTTATTTTATAGTACTCACGATGAGCCATCGGTGGAGGGGGATGAGTGTGGGCGTTTGGGGCGCAGCAGCACGTAGGACAAGGCACCATGCAGGTACCAACTCGCACTCTGCACATCAATTTATAAATCATTGATTAATGCAATGGCTAAATAAAAAAAATTCCAGTCATTTTGGGCCAATATAATAATAGAACAAAGTCATGGATACCATAATCAAAACTGATTATTATAATGTTAAGGAACACTATAAGAAAGATGTGGGATATATCTTTTTTTGTGCTCTTGCAAAACCCCTGGCTATTTTGTTAGTTTTACCAGTTTTATATGTGTCAAATGAGTGGATTAGTGAAGATTATACATCCATATAAGATATTAAAAATATTCCTATATGCTATTAATTTTATTCATTAAGATCATATCATATAAAAAAAAATCTAGTTTAATGCTGTTACATGCTACGTCCAAAAACTTGTAATAATGTGTGTTTATCAAAAATCAAGCATGCAAAATTCGAATAATCAATTTTCTATGAATCAGAGTGTAAAGTGGAACAATCACAAAACTTGCATAATCCAAATATTTTATTGCTTTTCAATGTTTCAAATTAAAAATTGTTACAATTTTGTAATTAACATATTTTTTATATTAACATTTTTCTGAAATGTTCATGTTCACAAAAATACCCAAGTAAAACTTATGATATCTAATTTGTGTAAAAAGTACAGTATCTGCTGGGCAAAGGCCTCCTCTGTACAGAGAGTGTTAAGCATAATCCTCCACGCGGCCGCACTGCGGATTGGCAGACTTCACTTAACTTCGAAATATTTTTATTTTTTGTTATTATTTCGAAAGTATGCAGGTTTCCTCACGATGTTTTCCTTTACCGCTGAGCACTTGAACATTCGGCATTTAAAATTAACAATTTCATTGGTGCCCTCACAGGGGATCGAACTTTGGTGGCTCGAGTATATTCAATTGACAGCGAGCGCCCAGACACTGAGCTATCATGGCTCACGGCGGTGTTACTTTCACATAAATTTTCTTAGCTATTAAAATTGCATTGCTCTGGTTCTAAAATTTGTATTTATTTACTTTAAAACTTTATGCACAATAACGTACAATGGCAGACTTAACACCTTTAGGTGTTCTCTACCAGTCAACTGACAAATAAGCAGAGAGAAATAAAATATTGTGTGTAGCAACATTTACAACTTATTATATATTATTTATTTATATATTAAATATTCCATAACAAAAATAAATACCTTATTTATTTTCGTTATGGAATATTTAATACAATTCGTACAAATAGAACAACAGTCATGGTCAATTATGCCATAGGAGAAAACATAACAATTTTAAAATAAGGCAGTAGTCTGTAAATTAATAGGATATCTCACCTTGTACGAACAAATGGATGTGGTATATGTGGATGATGGTGGTGGTAGATGGGTATGTCACTCGCCCTCTGCGGTTCGTATACTGTGCCATGGTGGTACGGCGAGTGGCTCGGCGGGCAAGGGGCCCGAGGCGCCGAAACCATTGGCTCTGGTATCGGCGAATTGTGACTAGGCGACTCCACTGGCACGTTGGCGCCCGGTGAACTCGTCAAATCAATCACCTCCTGCTGAAAAGGACATTTGAAAACATTGAAAAACATTGATAAAGAACACAATAATACCAATTACAATTTTAGGTATTAAATCGCACTATTACACCTGTACGGCCCATACAAACGAAAATCGTTAAGCGGTGAAATTTTGAGTAAACTAACACATTGAAACTTTTATTTAATATTTAGCCATTTTTTAAGCTTACGTAGATTTGTTTTCAACAAGTTTTTAACGTGAAATGTAAAATAAAATAGTTCTTTGGACAGTGACTGGTTGTTAAGAACGTGCGTGCAAATTACCTTGGTGTTTATGAGTTGCGCGAGGGTTTTTTTTATTAATTATATTTATTATTTCATTAAAAACATTGTAGGACATGTAGGTGAAGGGATAAAACTAATTAATATTAATTATACTATGATGATTAATATGAGAATGAGACATGAGTGTGAAGAATGTCCCCATATTTTTTTACCTAGAAATATACAAAAAACTACCTATTAGACCTTCCTTCTGTACATAAGAATTTGCAAGTGTGCAGATTTGTTTCGTATTACCTAATCATCTATAGTTAATAAAGATCTACTCTTCTATTAGTTCCAATAGCAATCCTTGAAGGTAACTCTGTAAATTTCGGAAATGATATAAGAATTCTTAATCCATACTTATATCAAAAATATAAGAAACTATGAGTAACACCTTACCTAGGTTGTACGTAGTCAATACAAAATGTATCAAGTATCAAGTTTTTTATGTCAAATACTTAGTATTTGTACAGTTATCTTTTCAACATGAACTGCTGCTTACTAGCAACATAGTGTCCACTGACAAAATGGTGGCCGAGAGCAGACTAATATTTCATTTCAAAATTTTGCACAATAACTCAAGACATTGATTAGCAAAATAATCTTTAATTCAATCACTTAAGATTCGCGCATTAGTGTAAAACGTAAAAAAAAATTTACTCAATCTTTTTTTTTCTGAGACTATTTGAAACATTTTCATAGTTATTTTACAATACCTTTTAAGTTTCACATGTGCTCTTACAAAATATGTTTTTAAGTAATAAATAAAAAGAAAAAATGGAAATCAATGGGAAAACTCAACACAATATCTGAAGGCGATAAAATTTCTTATTCACAATATTATAAACTAAAATTAAAAAAAAAAAAAATAATTGCTTGTGCTTGTAAGATAGGGTAAATTACACTGAGTTGTTTGTTATCATTGTGTGTATGTGTGTAATACTTATCACATCTGCTTAGTGTGCATTTGTAATGGTACTCACTTGATTATTTTCTTCTCCCAATACTTGTACATCATCATCTGAACTACTATCAGTAAGCCAATCCAGTTGTAAGTCAGGGGCTGATAATCCTGCATTTTCTGTCTTTCTTGTTGCAACATTCTCATATTGAGTTTCCTACATATAATAAAAAAATAAAAATTATGCACAATATACATTTTTATTTATTTTATGAAAAAGCTAGGAATGGTATTGTAAGCAGAGAAAAACAAAACAAGGTCAAAAAGAAACAGATGTCCTAATTAATAGTTGATTAACAACTATAATAATATTTTAAGCAAGTCTTGTAGGTAATACAAATTGTTTTCAAAATTGTCCCACTAACCTGATTTTTACTGTTGTTTGCTCCATTTTCGACTTCCATTGATCTACCAGTACTTGCTCCAGGTTGGGGGGATGTGCCTTTAACTTTTCTATCACCGCCTGCATCAATATTACAACACCTTCCATTTCTTTCAGTTGGTGTATTTGGTTCTGATTTTACAGACACATTACCATTATTTACTGTATCTCTTTGGGTATTTGAACTACCTGGCTCTATTTTAATTGGGCATTGGTTCACAACTTCTGTTTTAATAGTGGTTACGGCTGGTAGAGGCTGTACTTCGTCAACACTAGGTGCTTCATTGGTAGTCGGTTCCAATTTCACAGTAGGTGGTTGGCTTCCAGGCTCCTCTTTAATGTGTGAATTACTCAAGTTTATTGAGCTGGGCGTGTTACACGAACATTGGAAAACTCTGTGATGATGGTGATGGTGGTGATGATGATGATGATGGTGATGAGATCTATTTGGTACTACAAAGAGCCCTGTATTGTGCCAGCTGCAATCATGTCCACAACTTCTGAGGCTATGATCAGGTCCATTCGGACAAATATGGGGAAGAATAGCAGGGTCAGCAGGACCTTCCTGCACAGTAGAAACATTTGAAGCATTCTGTACACAATGTTCTCTGTGTTCGGTTATAGGTGATGTATGAATTGGGCAATGATTACTACCTAGTCTATTGGCCTCTAGTTCATTTTGATTTCTGGTATCAGCATCACCACCAGCTTGAGTAGAGACTTCAGCATTCTCAGTAGGCTCTCTTTTAATATCTACTCTTGATGTTCCATTACTAGTACTTTGTGTATCACTTGTGGAAACTTCCATCTGAATGTTAGCAGAGTGGCCAGCTCCACTATCACATTGCCTCTTTCTAGGTCCACTCACATTGTCTTCTTCTTCTGAACTCACTTCTATTAAGTTAAGGTTAACTTCATTTTCTTTTGACTGTCGTCTACGGGGTGAGATATTCAATTTTCGGCTAGGTCTTTCCAAATCATTTTGGGTATTACTGTCTATATAATTAGGTTCTGCTGGTTGGATATTGGTATAAATATTATCATTTGAATTGGATTGCAAATCTTCATATCCTCTAGGTGTATTGTCCGGCAGTTGCGGAGGAGTTGAGTGCACAGTGTAGTTAATAGGTTGATTAGGATAACCTCTACCTTCATTGTGCAAAGCTCTGTTAGTAGCATATGGTGTGACCATATATTCATTGGACTCTCTCGTCTCAGGGTTTTGACGGTAATGGCCATAATGGGGATAATAATAGTCTTGAAGGTGCGGGAATTGTTTTGGTTGGTACCTAATATTTATGTCGGAAAATCTGTGACCATTGGTATTAGTGCTATCCGCATTGTTGCCTAGAACATAGTCTAAAGAACTTGAACTATCAGGCAATGGCTGATACTCTTCTGGAACAGGTGTGTGGGCCGATCCAAGGTGTGACAATGGTATATTCACAACATATGACTGACCTGGTGACGTCGAATTGACATAGTCAGAAGATACCGCATTTTTGGGTGCTGAATCATTTGGAGCCAATGAATATTGCTCAGTTACAGCTGGAAGAACTTCGACCTCATCGTCACTTTCGGCAAAGAGGGGGTCACAATCCATTTCCTCTGAAACAGAAAAGGTATATAAAAATAATGACAAAAACTAGCTTTCTCGTTAAGACATAAATTAAATTGCTGTACCATTCCTCGACTGGCTGTCAGAACTTGTAAAAACTGTATCCAGAATAGCCGCAAGTGAAGAGGGTCCAGGTATATCCCATGGAGACGAAGATTGATTGCCTTCGAACCCTTTTTCAGTCATATTAATATTAGTTTTGTTGTAACATATTGTAGATAATTATTGCTCTTTTCACCATCGTTTGACTTACTTTTGTCAACAACACAACAACTGTCATGGAGAATTTTTTATGGATGTATCATTATTTTAGTCACATAGGACAAGAAATAAATTACTATAATAGCTTCAATGATTTAATATAAAGTAAATTGTTACTTTGTTACAAATTAAATATATCTTTGAAATAAATACTGCGACATCACTACCAGTACCAAAAATTTTATTATTTTTTTAAGCCCATAGATACATAATCAGTGTTGACAATGTACGAGTTACGAGTGTGACCTTATAAATAAATGACGAAAAATGAGTGCACGTATCCTTTGCGTGGTTGAGGTAAAACTAAAAAAAAATTCATTAAAACAATTGATAATAATTATTTTGGCGATATTTATTTATTTTGTCATTTGATTGGGTCTATCAATAAAATATAACAAAAACATACATTGTCTATAATAAATAAATTAATAAATAGTTTGCAACAGTCCTACACTGCGATGGCGAGTACAAGACAGCCACTCGAGAACCTTTCTTCCCCAACGGTTATCGGTTCTACGAGCTATATGGCCGGCCCATCGCCACTTCAGCTTGCTAATTCTCTGAACTATATCGGTTATCTTGGTTCTACTGCGGATGTCTTCGTTACGAACTCTATCACACAGAGAATTTTTTTTTTTTATGGGAATAGGAGGCAAACGAGCATGTGGGTCACCTGGTGATAAGCGATCACCGCAGCCCATAGACATTTGCAACATCGGTTGAGTCACAACTGCGTTGCCGGCCTCTAAGGAAGGAATAGTCTCTCTTCTTGAAGGTCCCTAAGTCGTATCGGTCTGGAAATACCGCTGGCGACAACTCGTTCCACAAAGTAGTTGTGCGGGGTAGAAAGTTTCGTGAAAAACGCACTGTGGTGGAACGCCAACCATCAAGGTGGTGTCGATGGTACTTGGCGGTTTGACGAGTTGTACGATGGTGAAATTCACCAGCAGGTATCAACCCAAACAATTCCTCAGAGCACTCCCCATGATATATCCGATAGAAAATGCATAGGGATGCAACATCCCTACGCAAGGCCAAAGAATCGAGGCGATCGAACAGGATTTGGTCGTCGACGATTCGAGCAGCTCTTCGTTGAATGCGGTCAAAAAGAAGGAGCTGGTATTTCGGTGCCCCAGCCCAGAGGTGAGAACAGTATTCCATGTGAGGCCGAATCTGTGCTTTATAAAGCTGCAACCGATGTGTCGGCAGGAAATACTGTCTCACTCGGTTTAGGACACCGAGTTTTTTAGAAGCCAGCTTGGCTTTTCCTTCCAAGTGACCGCGAAATTGAACGCTGCTCGATATATCGACCCCAAGAATTCCGATCGAATCGGTGGCAACAAGGGGAGTGCCTTCAAAAAAGGGAGATACGACGTAGGGTTTTCTCTTCGCGGTAAACGCGCAAACCTGTGTCTTCATGGGGTTAAATTGGACTAAATTAAGTCTGCCCCAATCCGAGATTTTGCATAACATAACCTCGACTTCAGACACAAGTTTATTCCGGCACTCTTCGACGTACTCCTGAGAAATATTTGCCCGGCCGGTATATAGTGCGTCACCCGTAGTGTCATCTGCATAGCAATGAATGTTGCAAATATGCAACAGATCATTGATATGTAGGAGGAACAACGTAGGGGACAGGACGCAGCCTTGTGAGACACCAGAGTTCACGAATTTAGCGTCGGAGCAAGCACCGTCAATAACGACCTTGATGCTCCGACGAGTGAGAAAACTAGTGATCCAGTTGCACAACTTCTCAGGAAGCCCGTAAGATGTAATCTTAGAAAGAAGTGCTTTGTGCCAAACCCGATCGAAGGCTTTCGCTACATCCAAACTAACCGCCAAGGCCTCATTCTTTGTCTCAACTGCCTCCGCCCATCGATGCGTTAGGTACACTAAAAGGTCACCAGCTGAGCGCCCGCGTCGAAAGCCATATTGACGATCGCTAATGAGCTGGTGCTCCTCAAGGTACCTAAGGAGCTGGCAGTTTATGATGGACTCCATGATTTTAGAGAACAAAGAGGTGAGGCAATAGGCCTATAGTTCGACGGATCTGAACGATCACCTTTTTTAGGAATCGGGTGCACTAAAGCCGTCTTCCAAGAAGTTGGGACAATGCCTAGAGAGTAGGAGTGCCGGAAAAGGCGCGTTAAAACCGGTGCCAACTCTGGAGCACACGTCCTTAACACAATGGGAGGGATTCCGTCTGGCCCGCTCGACTTATGGATGTCTAAGGAGAAGAGTGCTTTACGTACTGTGCTCTGCAGAAACCTTATTTCTGGCATTGTGTGCTCATACCACGAGATGGTCGGCGGTGTGTTCCCCTTATCATCCAGTGTCGAGTTAGACGCGAAGAGGGTGCCCAAAAGTTCGGCCCGAGCATAGCCCGCTCCATAGCTCGCAGTGTAGGACGACCCCCCACTAGATGGAGTGACGACCTGTGCAAATGTGCGGGAAGTCGATGGATGCAGGTGGCTCAGGATCGTACTTCATGGCAGTCTGTGGGGAGGCCTATGTTCAGCGGTGGACTCAAACAGGCTGAAATGATGATGATGATGATGCAACCAGTCGTAAGCTCTCGGCAGGGGACACCAAATAGCCAAGGGTTAGGGTGAAAGGGAGAGAAACCAACGGACGATACGGGAGTTATCAGGGAGCACAGCTTGGCGCCGTCTGCATTTGAGTTTGAAGCGGAAAGTTCCGGAGTCCTAGTCTCCGCAGATGTTAGGACAAGCTGACTGGGATTAACCCTTTCGCAGAAACGAACATCGGGATAATTTCGGTCGGTACACCACCCCACATGTCGATCACCTCGTGAGCGAGTACAGATACTTCTTCTTCTTCTTCTTAACTGTTCCGGCTTTCAGAGGAGGTTTTCGTTTTATTGACTAATGTTAATTTAAGAAAGGAAGGTCAAGCAACTTTTTTGACATAATTAATGTAAAAATTTTAATATTTAAATTAACGTAAACATAACATGTTTACATTAATTTAAATTATTCCAATATCATTTTATATACTGTGTACATTATTTTTTAAGTTTTGTATGTATCTATTGTGATTACAGCGTAAATAAACCTTTCTTCTTCTTCTACAGACTAGTCCGAGCTTCGACATCGAACTGAGGATAGTTCGGACTCGGACGGTGTCGTGCAGCGTCTTCTTATTATGTAAATCAAGAATTACCGTGTTGCTAGGGTAAAATTACGGTGTTTCTACACAAAATCTCGTCCAGAGGGTCCTGCTGTGATGAACTGCCCGTTCATCTGAAGCCAGGGCACGGGTACGCGACCCCGGACTCCTCGAGCTACCACTGCCATATTCCCTCCTTCCCTCCGTGGCAGTGGTATCCCCTAACCCTACATCATCCATTCTTAATGTTCCTCTCCCCCCAATATTTTTCCTACAACCATACACCCGACCAAACAACTGGTTGGATGGGGCTGCAGCGGCCTTGAGGTCCGAAGGACCTCTCAAATGTCTGGTGCAGAAAGCAACGGGAAACTACTGCACTATTCTCCCAAGAAAACCATGAACATTGTCCATAATAGATGTGAGATGTCATGCGATCCGACTGACGCTCGGCGCCATTGCAATTCCGGGTTGCAAGGTGGGAAGTGTGTTACCGGCCACTTATCTGTGAACCACCAGGCGGTAAGTGGACACTATGCTACTGGTCAAGGTGCGTGCATGAAACAAACCTCATTACGTAAACATCGTCGCATGGGGATTTGGAATGCCAGAGGACTTCTTAAACAGGGGAAGTTAGAAGTTGTAGAGAAGGAGATGGACAGGTGCAAAGTTGACATCTTGGGGCTCAGTGAAGTACATTTACGAGGCAGCGGTCATTTTACTACCGATAGCGGCAATACTATATATTATATTGGTGCTGACGATCACAGTGGTAATGGAGTTGCTTTTATTATACCTAAAAAACTACAGAATAGCGTCAAAGGACATACAGCTCCAAACGATAGAATGATAGCCATTAAACTTGATGCTAGCCCTGTACCAATTAATATCATTCAAGTATATGAAGAGGAAGTGTCAGATCGATTCTATGCTAATCTCGATAACTTGTTAAGCATTATACCATCCAGGGAAGTAACTGTCGTACAAGGTGACTGGAATGCAAAGATTGGCTGTACTGAGGGAGATCCACTAAATGGCACAGTAGTTGGTAACTTTGGCCTAGGTAATAGAAACGCGAGGGGCGAAAAATTTCTTCAATACTGCATAGAAAATCAGCTCTCAGTTATGAATACCTGGTTTAAACAACACCCTAGAAGACTTTACACTTGGACTTCTCCTTCAGGCCATAAAAACTAAATTGGTAAAAAAACTTTGAGGTGCTTAAAATCTAGATACACATTTAAAAATAAATACAAAATGTATCTCCTTTTAGACCAAAAAATAAATTGTGTATAAAGCAGCCATTTCCTTGTGCCATGTTGTGTTAAATATTTGTATCATAAAATTTTGTCTCTCCGCTTCTTTTCATAATTATACTAATGTTTTAGTGTTTCCTCTTTATTTAATGTTTATTGATTTGTTTGTATTTTTATTTTATCTTTTATATTAATGTCATGTCTCCTCTAATCGTTACTCTACTCGTACAGTTTTTTTTATATGTATATTTTTTCGTAGTCTAATAGGGTTCACTGAAAACCGGCGCTGTGGTCAACACCGCAGCAGAAGCCGAGTGAACACCCATTTAACATCACACTGCCTGTCGAAATGTATAATAATGATAACCTATTATTTATAATTTTAATGTACTTCATTTTTTTTTCTTTCCTGGATGTATTATTTTTATTTTCGATGATGTTAAATAAATTTCTTTCTTTCTTTCTTTCTTTCTAAATTGATTTTATTACAATCAAATCCAGATCATCTGTAACGAATGCCAAAACTCTCCCTGGAGCAGACTGTGGTAGTGATCATCAACTACTAATAGCTGACTTCAGATTACGGCTTAAAAGTGCGCGATCGAAACCCAAGAATACCATCTTGCTTAAC